CCAACTCTAATCGATTGATTTCATGATTTTTAAATAGTTTTGCAAAAAATTTTTATTTTTTAATGTTTTAAATTTGCATTTAAAATAAATTTTCTAAAAGCAGATCATAAATATTGAAGAGATTGTAATATTCTTAAGATTGATAAGTCTAATATTTGTAGTGTTGGAATGGGTTTACTACTATTCAATATTATTGGGTCTAATTGAATCATTTAACCACTAACCATTGTGTTAAATCCTTTAAATATTAATACATAATATACTACATAATATATATAATATATTATATAATATATATTATATAATATATATAATATAATATTTATAAGTTGTTTATATATAGCAATAATCTAATAATCTTAAGAAAATTGCAATCAGAAACATGACTCATAGATTTTATATGATAACCCAACCCAAAAGTTAAATTTAAGCTTTTAAAACAAAATATATACTATTATATATATTATTATGTTATATATATACTATTTTAACTAAATTCTAAAGATCTTGTGACAGTGTTGAATAAAAAGAATACTTTTAAAGTTAATTATATTTTGTCGAAAGATTATTATTCTAATGAACTATTTTTATTCTATAAGAAGCTATTTTTAAAAATTAGAAGGATTCGAATAGCAAAAAAAAAAACAAGAACAAAAATTTAATTGATTTATTGAAAATAATTAAGTCCTTTGTCTTCATAAGAAGCGTAGCTTTTGGCAAAAAATAATTACCTTCAGAAATATTAGAATTGAAAATATGAACAATAATATATATTGTTTTAAATATAGCTCAAATACAATATTATTTTATTATATGGTAAAAATATTTCAATAAAATTTTATTTAGAAATTAAAACGGTGCACCTGAGGATGTTGTTGGTTTGCCAAAAAGTATTTTCCAAGTTATGTTAAGTTACGGATTCATAATGAATAAAAATTTTATATATCATTTACATATAATTCTTCAGATCGATATCTTATACAATAGTTCATAAAATAAAGTTTTTCAAATCTAGTTAACAAACGAAATCTTTTTACAATAGATACTTTTTGAAATATAACGACAATCAAACAGCTGATAACTAATTCAATTCTAATTGGTATCTTGCTATTAATGCCCACATCTGAGAAGCATTTATAAATTATATGAATAATTTTATATATAATGTATCCAAAATAAATATTTTCATAAATAAATATTTTCAGAGTGAATAGTAGGCCCTCTTTCGTCTCAATAGATGTATTATTATAAAAAATATCGCATTTGGTACTAAGAAGATGATTGGCGAGTCTGCAACCACCGATACGCCTTAAAGAACTCGTTGCTTGGTGTTGTAACATATATGAGTATTTGGTGCCATTATAGTCCATATTAACCTCTTAATATAACATTTTTGGACTTTCTCAGACTTTGTTAAATAGAATACAATTGCCTGAAATGAAAATATAGTCAACAGGTCTGCCTATTCGTTGCAAAGTATGATCTGAATTTGTATAAATAATTAAAGCAAACTTAATCCTGTTAGTTTGTACCTGGTGGAGATCCAATTTAAAAGTTTATTAATCATTGAGTTAGCAAATAATATGACAATTGTTACAAATCGTAAAAAAATATTAAATATTCAAACAACAAAGCAAAAATTTAACCTAGTAATTGCTCTCATGTTGCCAGCGAAAAGTTCTTCCTTTATCCTTGTACCTACATAACTTTATGCATAAAAATTAAAAGACACACAAGGCGATATACAAACCAACGAACTCTTCTTCCGGAATCGTCGTACCACAAGCAAACAACAAACTCCAGTAGCAGACAACAGCTGTTTAAGTCGTCTTTTGGTTTTGGGTTCGAGTACTTTGAAAAATATATAGTTTGTGACATCTTACTTACATATCTACTAGTTTAGCAGTTTACGTAAAATAATTCTCCATTTTATTTAACCTTTTTTGTTAATGACATAATACACTCAATATTTAACATATGTACGAGTACAAGAAATCGTTTTGTAAAGCTCCGGAAAACGCCTTTGCGTGTCATTTGTAAATATGGAAATGAGAAAATATATTAAAAAAACTTATTTTGAAAATATATGGCAACGACATTTTAGGATGTAATACTAAAGACCGTTAAATTAAGCCGGCACGAAATAGTAAATCAACCAGTTGCATACATCCATACACCCCTGCTTTTGAGCCATTTAAGTTATGAGCTGACTGGCATGACGTCTGAGAAAGTTAATAGCTGCTATAGTAAAAACGGAAAATACCATTAAACTCGGTTATCGGCATGAGCTACAGAAAATACATTTTTTTGAATTATATCTAGAAAAAATATTTTGGTTTTATTTAGATTCATTCAGAAACAACAGATATATGCTATAATGTAAATAAATCAGACAAGTTAAATTTGTAAAATATTTATAAATGGTTATCCTTTTCGTAGTCCTGATTTGATAGCATTGTTTTAATAGCATTTGACAATCAAATCTATCACAAATCTATCATATGTTAATTTAGGATTTGGCATTTATAATCATTATAATCAGTCAATTATATAAAGTCTGGAAATTGAGTAATCATATATTTTAACACTTAAGATTTAATTAATTTCTATAATAATATAAATTATTTGTATTAGCTTAATGATACAGAACTTACAAATAATTGCAAATGGATTACGGACATATTAAAAAATTCAACGCCTTTGGACAACAGATAAGATGTTATAAATCTTACTCTACATTAAAGTGTGTTCCAACTCTTCTTATTACGACAAGAATTGATAATAAATGCAGATCTGAAATATCTATAAATCACAGATATCAAATTGTTCATGGTACTATGGCTGTATATTCGAAGAATGTAGAAACCACAACAAATAAAAAACTGGGTATACTTTATGTAACTAATTAAACAACGACATAGTAGTCTTCACTCCTGACTTCAACCCTAACACGAAATTGTATATTACTATTTTATTAATTTGTAGTACTTTGAAATGCTTATTGACTTATAACATCAGACAGGAATAAGAGCCTTCACTATAGTATTCCTCTCCTGGCTCGGAACAAAGCTATGAATAATATGACTTCCCAGAAAGACATCAAATGAAAATATTAACACAATCAATGGTACTCCTTTAGATAAGCTGTCTAATCCAGTTTCCCGAAGTATTCAGTAGTGGCTTTTTACAATTACAATCCATAACAGATCTACCAGAAACAGATCAGATTATGTTTAAAAGATGCGTGTTGATGCATATATCAGTATATCACATACTTTGTAATAATCCAACAAATTCTACAATAAAAAGCGGAACTACAGACTTGAATGACTTTTTAGTCTTTAGAAAATGAATAAGTGTCATTACCATAACAATAACAACATAGTCTCAATCCATTGTCAATCCATAATAAACCACGCAGAGAAACTGCTCATACCTTCTCACACTTCTTGTCGAAGTTGTAGAAACTTAGATGAAAAATAAAAAAAAAACACCACACATTTCATGAGTTCAGGTTTTGCTACCAGGGGCGTACAAGCCTTTGCTCACTTACTTACTTAGTTGGCCATTACAGACGTGAGTCAGTTGCTTGGTGTCGTCAGTTGGTAGTACCGAGCGCACTTAAATCGTTGGTCACCTGGTCCTTCTATCGAAGATGCGGATGTTCGTTTTTATATTAAAACGAAGAATACTCTTACATTATGAGAAGCGGGAGGATATCTACTCATCAGTTACTGCCTTAAACAACCATACATATTAACATAACAAATTCTTAAGAATTCATTCTCTACTATTTTATTCCCTGGGTTCATAAAATGTCTATATACTGTATTTTATTATGTTGAAGCTGTTTTGAGCTAGTGCACTTAAGCACTAATACTCTTTTTTAACTCGAGGTTTCTTCTTTATCACTTCATTAGACTAAACAATAATTGACCTCAGATCTGCATACCTCCCCGAGGAGCCTGTAACCAATCTGAGATTTGATAACGCGGTGTTGGTAAGTCTGTTAGATTTCGCAAATAATTTCAAGGCTCTATCCTTTATGTATTTTTTGATGGGATCAATCTTGATGTCCCTGAGGATGTCATTCGTCCTAATGTACCATGGAACTTAAAATTAATAAACAAATTTGTAAACAAACAGATAACCAAAACTAAATATATTAGCTGCATCATTCTTCTTCCTCGGGATAACAGTCCTTGAAATATTGAAGTCTGTCGTTTCATATCCTCTTGCCGATAAAGCATATTGTACGTGAATATGGCTTAAGTGCTCTTCAACGACTCTTAAGTCACGTTACAAACATTCTAACAAACTTAATGTTTTTAGCTTTTATGGAAAAATGTCTGCAGGGTATAAAAATTAGTGTAATCCACCATTTCTTTTCTAACTATCTACAATACATTTGATTAATAAAATCGTTGATAAGCGTGATATTGAATAAAAAACAAACTGATGACATTTTTCTGGTTCAGTAGACATACCCGTGTACTCGTGTACATATATATGTAGGTACATATTTACATTACACATTTATAAGAACGAATGAAGTCATTTATTGTTTCATAGATGTATGCTTAGATATGAACATAAACTATATAGATAAGAAATAACTGAAAGGAGAAAAAGTGAAGTACGAAAGCATAAACTTTTACATGAGAATTTTGATTCCAAACCAATGTGCAAAAAATATATTTCGTGCTTAACGACCATACCCAACTTATTAAAGGTTGCTCCATTTATTTCTCGAAAAAAAAAACAAAAAATTAATAAAGTAAAAGGCAGAAAATATACGCACATATTGGCAGGATTTTTATGTTTTTTTTTTGTGATGAGTTCTAGCCAATTCAGAATCTAGAATTTAGTCTGTTGCTTCCAGTGATAATAAGAAGAAGCATTTCGTTCAAATTAAAATATAGATTGCTTTGACTTCACTGTCATGATTTATAAGATAAAAATAAAAAAATATCTTTTAAATAAGATATGTGAAAATTATTAATATCTCTACATCAAAAATTTTACGCGTGTATTTTAAATTGTGAACAGTGACAAAATTCTAGTGATATTTCAATGCAAAATGTGTAATTCGGACATAACTGATAAGACTTGTTCAATAACACAATTAAAATATAAGAATAAATTCAAGCGGTTTTTGAAAAAACAGCGACATATCGTAGGGTTGTATAGACCTAATGTACTTCATTCCTACTTATCACATAGTCAGATCTTGCACTATTTGGAATATACAGAAAATAAGTTTTTATTTACTAAAATTCATATGCTCGGTTATTCCTATGAACATCGCCCAATAACAGCCATTGAAATAAATTGGTATGATCCCAGAAACTGTAAAATGTCTTTAAATCAGCCTAAACCAATAACCACTGAAGATTCAGGTAATATGAAGAATCGTGATATTATCTTTATTGAAGGAGGGACACATGCACGTGAATGGATAACGATATCGGTTGCTTTAAATTGCATTTATCAATTAACCGAACGGAATACAACACAACGTGATGTACTACGGAAATTACGGTTCTTCATAATTCCAGTGGTCAATCCTGATGGTTATGAATATTCCAGAACTAAGGTTTGTAGTAAATAAAGTTAACTTAAGAAATATACACATATTTAAAATGTACATACAATTTTCGTAAGTTTTTAATATTTAGACTCGACTATAACTATAAGAGATCATTCTGGTACTTATCATTAATCTGCAGGCAACTTAATGCAGAAAACTTAAATGTATATTGATATCCAATGCCACACAAAATAGGTGTCCGCTATAATGTGAAAAACAGACACTTACTATAAATCAGAGAACACATGTATTTAAGTAAAAAGGGACTAAAAGAGTAGAGCTTTTTCATATACAAAATATGTCATATGAAATAAACAAATCTATATGTACTCAGCGTACATTAATTTCGAATAAATCAATGTTCGATATGTTATAACTAAGCAAAAGCAACTTCTTGAACTTTCAGAATTTTTACTGATGACATAGAACCTAATGTAACACAAGAAATATTTCTTCGATATCACAGTTATGATAAGTTATTTTTATTATCACAAGTTCACATATACCAAAATCACATAAATGTAAAGTGGTTTTTTCCACATTATTTCCAATGGGGAAATGATAAAGGAATCATCACTTCGTGGGCTATCCCACTTCGTTGCATACGTCGATGACTTTTCCGTATCATAAAAAATTGAAAACTGTTGCAACGACGATAACATCAATGAATTCATTGATCACAAAAGGTTTTTCCCCTCTATACCGTGTCAGTATCTTCTTTGAGGCCTTTGTTTCACAACAAAGTTCTCTGTAAGCCTCCGTGTGACATATTTGGGAATACAGATAATCCACAAATGCAGTAATAACAGCCCTAACTTAACTTAAGTGTAGATATAACTTCTTAATTACTTGTCACACATAAATGAGTCTATCCTCAAAGTTTACTACACCTACAGATTTATCCACCATTTGTTTATAAGTCAAAATGTCCACACTAGTTTTGATTTTATTTAATAATTGATTCCTTGAAATGGCTTAATTTTCTTCTAGAACTTAGTTGATTGTAGCATTTCTAGCTAACGCTCTATTTATAACTACCTAATACCTCATAACTTTGCTTATTGCATCCCCACCTGCAAGTCTGATCGCCCTTTTCTGTGTTTGCTTTTCAGATCAGTTGTTTTTGATTAAAAACAGCAACCTCTCACTGTATAAACTTCACCTAGTTCTACATGAAACTACACCTAGTAATAATCAGTTATCACATACAACTACTTATCAAGCTTATGCGCACAATAGGCCTTCCAGAACGCTGTGCGACTAGGTCGATTATCATAATCTCATTATCTCTATATCAACTTAATATTTATTTTTATTTATTTTATTGTATGTCCACATATAGAACGTTCGCTGGCGAAAGAATCGCCGACCTCAGGAGAATCATAGAGTGATTGGTATAGATTGTAATCGAAACTATGATGTTGATTGGGAAAATGGTAATGCACATAAAAGTAGGTGTACATTTAAAGGCGATAAACCATTCTCTGAACCTGAAACCCGTGCAGTTCGGAATATTATGACAAAACTAGCAAACGAAATTGTATTGGTTCTTTCGCTGCACTCCTATGCTCAATCTATTATGTATCCATGGGGATACACGAAGTAAGTTTAATATTTTTAATGATATCGTTATCGTTGTTCGTTAATATCATCTTTATTTATAATATTTAGAAAGCTACCACCTAACAACTCGAAATTAATGGAGGTCGCACAAGCTGGACATATAGCTATCAGAAGGCATAATGGTCGTCGCTATAAGATTGGTAATATATCGCATTGCATAAAACATACCATCCCAGGATCTATAATTGATTATGCTTTCGGCTTACTCAAGGTAAAACATTCGTTGTTAAAATAAATATATTCTATAATTAGAAACAATATTCATATTCAAGATACCTTTGGCCATAGTGGTTGAATTACCATCAAAAGAACTTGGATTTCAGCCACCAATTGACACAATTTACCCAATTGGACAAGAAAGTTGGCTTGGTATTCGTGCAATGTCGCTCTGTGCTTATAAAATTATATCTGCAGACAAATCAATTATACTTGTCGATCAACCGTATACGAAAAATACAGCTCATGTTGAATACAGCTCATGTGAGCTGCAAAAAAATAAATCAAATATGAATAGTGTTGGTACACAGTGTGATTTAACTTTAAAACCGAGCACCGTCAAACAAAAACAATTACACTTAATCGAAAGTTTACTTAATTAACAATTGAGTGTAGTTGATAACAGAACTTACCTCATACTTCAAACCAACATTGTGGCAACGTCTTTACTTCAGCTCAGTTAAATTTGACTAAGTTGAAATTGATTTCATTTCAACTTAATGAAGAGTACAAAAATCCAAATTTGTAAAAATTAATATTAGTATATCTAATACATTTATTATAAGAAATCTTTTAGAATTATTGTTAAACAGTTTTAAATGTTATCAAAAACCAAATTTATTACCTACATGATTTCGAAAAGTATACAAATTATAATTCGTGTATGTAGCTAAACACAAAATTTTAATTATTCTTAGCGTGTATACAATAAAGTATTGTATTTTTGAAAAGTAAAATTTGGATGCATAAGTATTTAATATAAATCATTTGTACTCAATATGTAAATTTAATTTATAATGTATGTATTATTTTGCATTATGTGTAATTAAAAACTTAATAATGTTAATAATGCAATATTCTTATATATATCATTTCGTGTGATTGTTATATATATATATATATATTTATTGGATATTTACATATATAGTACATAAACACATATAGTATATAAACACATATAATATATCTATACATATATAACATAATATATATCGTAAATATACATATATACCAAATATATATATAATATATACACACCTACTAATAATAAAAATTACTTAAATTTAATTATGTTTCAATATGAGATGTAGTAACGTATATTAACAAAAGTTCGGTTATCTCAAAGGCAATATTTAATAAACTAATCAATTATTTATTAAATCTGGAACACGAGGCGCAGCATATTTGAAACGCAAATTTTCGTAAATTTTTCGATCCTATCATTAAAAATATAAGAATTAAAACATTATTTAAAGTAATAAGCATACAGTATATACCTTCTCTGTTATCGATGGTCGTAACATTTTTAGTGCTGCTTCAATATGCTTATTTCCAACACACATATTTTCTTCCTTAAAATCAGAATTTAGTCCATCTTTAAGCACTAACATAGCGGCCTGCCGCATCAAACCTGCCAAATCAGCTCCTGTGAATCCATCAGTCTTCTTGGCTAATTCAACAAAATCGACCTCTTCTGACAACAAAGGTCGCGTACGATTCTACAATTAAAACCATAAACCATAATTAATTGCGTAAACATATACATATTTTTATGTTATGATTTTACCTTTGTGGTTGCTTTAAGAATTTCTGCACGATCGTTTTCTTTTGGTAAACCTACATACAATATTGTATCTAAACGGCCAGGACGTAATATAGCAGGATCAATAATATCTGGGCGATTAGTTGCAGCTAAAATATAAACACCCTGACGATCTTCAACACCATCCATTTCGGTTAATAATTGATTCACTATTCGTGTACCTGACCCACTTTCGTTACTATCTGAACGTTTTGGACAGAGTGAATCAAATTCGTCGAAGAAAATTACACAAGGTGCTGAATTCCTGGCACGTTGGAAACAAGCGCGTACTGCACGTTCACTTTCACCAACATACTATAATATTGAAATAAAAGATATAAGAAAAAAAATTTTTTTTTTAAATATAATTTTGTTTAAGTCAATTGGAATGAGAGGAAACTATTTTATTAATAGACGGGCTTGTAAATAGTGTGAGCTTGAACAGCAAAATTTTATTTTTAATTAATTGAATTTTTAAGCTACCATACAACTGATTTGAGTATTGCCAAATACTCCAGTCAAGAACCAGTCAAGAAACTTTTGTTGTTCAAATTTCAATTTTTTTTATTTTTTTCCTTTCTCAGAAGACAGCCAAAGCATTTATACTGCTTTATAATTAGAGCTCTTTATAATTAAAGCTCTTTTTTATATATATTATATTATATATATCATATATATATCGTATTATATATATTATATTATATATATTATATTATGTGCATCATATTATATATATATTAATATTATTATGAATATATTTGAATTTATATTCTTTTTATCTGTTACTATTTAAAATTTTTATATTTTTAATGTCAATACTAACCATATTCATTAGTTCTGGTCCCTTTACGGATATGAAATTAATACCAGCCTCATTAGCAATAGCTTTAGCGAGGAGAGTTTTACCACAACCAGGTGGTCCGCATAACAAAACACCTGAAGGTGCAGATAAACCAAGTATTTCTAATTTTTCTGGGAATTTGACAGGTGCTAAAATGGCTAATTTTAACTCATCACGTATTTCCTGTAAAGACCCAATATCTTCCCATGTCACGTCAGGAACAGTAATGAAACCTTCACGTTTAGCACTAGGTTTTGTTAATTTTATAGCATCCAAAAAGTCATCAAGTGTTATATAAAATTTATCTACCACCATTATTTCTTCAGGTGGATTTTCAAGCCAATTTATCATTTCGAATAAAGATGGTTCTGGAATGTTTTCTTTTTTGACACATTGTTTTTTTGCGTCATCGTCATTTTCTTTCTGTAATTTTAATTCATTACTTTCGGCATCAATTGTTTCTTCTTCTTTCGCCTGTTCCTCATCAATTTCCATTTTATCTACAGCAGATTCCTCTACAGCATCAGTTTTCTTATTCTCAGAATCTTTTGATTCCGACCCGTTCTTTTCTTTTTCCAATGTTTCTTCTTCTGTTGTTGTTTTTTCATCAGAGTTTTTAGCTTCGTTATTATTTGTTACCAAATCATTTGTTTTGTCTTCTTTCCCAGATTTATTTGCTTTGTCAGTTTCTTCATTTTCTTCGTCGTCCAAATCTACAAACGTTATATTTTCTTGTTCTCGTTCTCGAAACTTACGCATTTGTTCTGAACATTTCTTTTTTACTGCAATAGTAGCTGCACGCGATACTAATGCCAATAAATCACCTCCAACATAACCGGGTGTTAACTCAGCTATTTTATCAAAATCGCATTTTGCTTCCAAACTTATACCTTCACATATAATACTTAATATCTCTTTGCGATCACGTCGGTTTGGAATCTCTATAGCTACTTCGTGATCAAAGCGTCCGACTCGACGCAATGCAGGATCCAATTCGTTTGGTCGAGAAGTAGCTGCAATAACTAAAACCGATTGACCATTTATAGTTTGTTTTAACTCATCCAAACAAGATATCAGTTGTAATACTACACGATGCTCCATGGCTTTTTGTGCATTTGAACGATTCCCACATATAGCATCAATTTCATCAATAAAAAGAACACATGGAGAACAAATTCGAGCTTGTTCAAAAACATTACGAATCATTTCTTCAGATTCACCTGAAATACCCGAAATCAATTCCGTTGCAGGTACTGTAATCATGTATAGATTTAATTGCTACAATATTAAACAAATTAATTATGTTATTAAATTATATTGTGATACTATTAAAGAAATACTTACACCAGCTATAGCATGCGCAAGTAGCGTTTTGCCACAACCAGTAGGGCCATGTAGTAAAATTCCACGTGGTGGTACCAAACCAAGTGCATAATAGACGTCTGGTGTTTTCAGATGTAACAAGACCTCACATAATTCCTTCAAATTTTTCTCCATGCCACCAATATCGTTAAAATCTTCTCTTGACTTATGCAATTGAACGTCTTTTTTATATTTACGCGCCTTTTGTTGCATTGCTAATATCTGATATAATTGACATTCGTTTTGTGAGCTCTGTTTATTCGCTAAAAAGTCAGCATCCATTTTTTCTAATTTTTTGGAATCCAGAAATTTAATATACGTCGAACTATTACTAGGTATTCATAACTTACGTTTTTTGGCAGGCTGTGTTGAATTTTCTGCTTTTCCATGCTTTTGAGCCAATGGACGTTCTGAATTCAATTCGTTATTCACTGTACTATCAGAACTCTTCAAACATTTGGCCAATTTCATTTGGGCTACATTAATATTTAAAAATAATTATAACTATAATACAAATACATTCCAAAACTAATTGTCGAAACCATAAATCTTTACATACATTTGCCATTTTTGCCATTTGTAGGTGCCTCATCAGAGCTTTCATCACTACTTATGTCAATTGCTTCACCTTCTGCGGAATCTTTAGCATTAGTTGGATTTTTATTCTTTGCATAAAGTTGATTTAACATATCGCCCATTAAATTTTTCTTTGTGGATGCTGATTCCTAAAATAATTGAATATTTTGTTAACACTTACGAGTATATAGAAGAGCATTTTAGTATTTTCTTAAAAAGATTTGAAAGGAATGAACCAGACTAATAAAATTATTTTTTTATACTATATGTATTGTCGTCTATATAGACAATAGAATAAAAAGGATGACGTAGTTATAGTTTTAGTAATATTAATTTATGTTAGATTGTGATCCTGATGATGACTCTCAAGGAGAGTCGAAATATAGAGTATAATTAAAAATTATAAACGTTGAATTTTTCAACAAAAAAGGACCTATAGCTGGATTAAAAAATATATAGAAACCATTATTATTTTTTATCAAATCTATAAATTAAATTTCAAAGCGTATAGTTTGATAATGGAAATACTGCATATCACAGGTTCGACTAATAAATATTTCCGATGAACGTTAATAATTAAATTTTGATTGTACATTTAAAAATTAAACATATATTAAAAACACTAGATTTAATTTGTTTATGTTAGTTTAAAAAAAATATTAAATATTTATTATTATTGAAAAAATTTTTGTGTTCAACAAGCTAGACGCAAATTTACTATAGCATGTGTTATTTTTATTTTTATACCACAATGAACCTAAAGCGCAGCATGATTCAATTGCAGCACAAATACATGGGTTAGGATAAAGTATGGGGGTGAGACTATATAAATCTAAAATTAAGAACTAAAATTGGACAAGTAAAGAGATAGATAACGACATCTTAACGAATATAACTACATTTTGTAAAACATTATGAATTGACGTGACAATCTACCGTCAATTTCAGGCTTTTTGAAAGTTAGACTGTGGCTATTTCCTGTCTTTAAATAAGCTAGAACAGTTTTTATTTCACAAGGACGGCAACTTTTATCTCTAGAAATTTAAAAACACGCGAGTTGTGTCGCGAAGAATGTCGAATTATAGAACATCAACGCCAAATTCTATTCAAATATTAAATCAAAGTTAGATGTCATTTATATTGTATTATTAAATAATAAACTCTTGAATCAATAAATAAGTAATAATATTATCAGCATAGACTGAATCTCTGCGTTTGGACAAGTTTTTAATATTTAAACTTGACTTTTGTGGTGATATATATCAAGTACATGGCATATTTAATATAACAAAATCTGACATATGAAGGTGTATCCACACCAAAGCGAACGCTTGCGAACAAACGAATATTCGCAGTTAATGATACCTGCAAAAGTTCGATCGCTTTGGTGTGGATGCATCTTAAGGTTACAAACAAATCGTATTTCAATAATTAACTTCGAAGCCAGATTTTAAAAATTCTTTTCATTTAATTTGTTTAATTTAGTCTTGAATGTTGAGAAATACCAATATACCCAAGGCATAGAAACTATAATGACTTCTGCTTTTCATTAAATTAGCGACACTAAAAGATATTTAATGCAATACATATAGATATTAAAAGTTAAAGCGTAAAACTACATCAATTTCGCACAAAAAATTTACATAAATCTCCAAATAAAAAAAAATGTTCTACATTGTAAAAAATTTTTATATGTAGTTTTATATCAACATTTCGTGCGAAATAAATATTAATACTAAGCTAAAAATAGTAAATGCTTGAAATTGCGAACAAAAAAAATTAAATTTATTGTTGCCTTCAAAACAAATTAAAAAATTTAAAATTAAATAGTAAGATGTATCGATAAAAATTTGGTCACGGTGACGAGGTCTTTTGCTCTTTAAAAAATGTCGAAATTTACACCTTTAGGTGAAATTATCTGTACTTAGGTGTGAATATGATTATATATGCAATTAAATTATATTTAATTAATTTAATTTTAATTAAATTTAATTTCAACTTTTACATTAATACAACAAATACAACAAAGTATCAAAATTGTACTTAAGGAACAAGCATTTACGATTATGATATGACTCTCTATATAACATGATCAAAATATAATTTTTGCAATTAATATCAACACAGCAAAGCAACAAATGTTATATACACATATATATGCATATTTATATTACAGACTAAAACTTACTTCCATCATTTCTAAATCTGAACCACTATCGCCGCTCTCAAATCCGCGTTCATCTAAACCGTAACTTTCAGAAACGATGCGATATGCTAAAAATAAGTCGTTATTATTTCAAACACTTTATGTAATGTTAATATTTGCTGCACTCACCTTGTTCAACCAATGTACGAAAAGGTCCCACTTTACGTCTTGAATATTCAATATATTGATCTTGAAGGTCTTTTGTCATTACACCAACATCTAAGTAAGTCTTATCGACGTTATCCTCCAAATACTAAAAAAAAATGCATACACATTAGATAAAAAAATATTTAAAGCGTTTTTTGTAAAATTCAACCAACATAACCCCACTTTATTTAGTTCCTTCTTCGAACTCCTTTAACCGGGCAAACAATACAAAACATAACGCCATAACGCACACACATGCGCTCACATAATATACTGATAAAATATTTGTTTTTATTACCTTTCGTACTCTGTTAATTATTAGTGGATCATATAAAATCGGTTTATTTTTCTTCATTTTACAACAAACTTAATTTGTATAATAATTTGTTAGCATAAAAAAACTAACAAAAAATTGCAAATACTTAACACCCAAATTTAAAACAGCTGCTATCCCACAAGCTATGCGCGTATTCACTCTCAAGAACGCGGGTGTCTGTCAGTATATCACAACTTATCTACTGAAGCTGTCAAAATGACAGTTTGATTAACTGTTGCCAGACTAGAACGCTCTTACTTTTTAAGATGTTTTAAATGTATTCAGACCAAGTATGCGTGCTACCATATCACACTGTTTATATTCAAGTATACATACAAAATCTCGGTAGGCAGATATGTATGCGGTAATATAAAAACTTTTTAATTATATGTTAGATTTCCAACATCTCTGCTTGTGTATATCGAAGTCTGCAAACTTCTCATAATTTAAGAATTTTGGTGAGCGTCGGACGAGCGAAAATCGTAATAAAGAGAAAAAGGATTGAAAAAAAGTACTAAATATTTATTTACTTTTAAAACAGCAAATTTGAAAAGAAATGTTACAAGTAATTATTAAAAACTTTATATATTTAAAAAATTATTTTGTGCGAAAAACAATTTTTAAAGAAGTTTATATTCTTAAAACATTATTTTGTGAATAAAAATATTAAAATTATAACTTTAATAAATTTAATAAAAAGAATTATAATTTTAAGAATTAAAATAAGAAATTATGTTAACTTTTGATAAATATGAAATATTTATATAATAAATTATATAACATATTGTTATTAACATCACCTCAATTTTTTCAGTTTCGATTATTGTTTTCCACTCTGTACTTGCCCCACTGTTGCTATGAACGCTGTAGAAAATTAATCAAAAAAAGTATGCATGCCTTGTTTCGAAGTATATAGTAAAACATAGTAAAACTTGGTCTGCAGACATGTAGCCGTGTCTGTATCATACTTTACATATCATATCATACTTTACGTATCATACATTCTTAAGAAAACATGCAGTAATTTTTTAAAGTGGAAAGCAACTGCATGTCGAAGTCCTTTTGTTTATATGATTTGAAGAAAAATCACAAATTGTACAATATATTTTTAGAACACATATATAATTTTTTTACAAATTTTGTAAAATTTGTTAAAATGTAATTAACATAATTAAACATATCTATATATCAATAACAACATACAATTAATAATATTTTTTATACATATATATATATACAAAAATTTTTTTAATAATTATTGTTATATTATGGAAAAAAATTTAAAAACAATATTCTAATCACTTTATTGTGCTACTTTCAAAGCACTAAATTATAATTAATACAAATGCACAAATTAATTAGTAGTTTATTATTTCACCAATTTGGCACACATCTAAATTTCTAATATGTTATAATATATATATATATATATATATATATATAATGTATATATGTTTCACTTTTTTCTACAATAATAAATTAAAAATAATACTTTTAATTAATAATTCACCTTCGATAATTATTTTACCATTTTTCAATGCAAACAAACTCCGCTTTATTTTTCATTCACTAATGTGGTATTTGTGCACTTAATTGCAACTTTGGCGCCTTTTCTCTTCAGATTTTTGATGTCGAAAAAACGAAAACCAACAACGAAATTTCTCTTATTTTAACAAATATCATGGTGAGTAGGGACCGAATGGGCAAAATAGACCGGGTTAGACCGGGTGGAAAAATTATCACGTGCCGTTGTGTTGCATTAGGCTTTTTGTTTTTGTACTGCATGATTATTTCACCTCATTGCACAAATTTTGTAATAACTCTCAATTTCTTTTTTTTATCTTTTTTGATTTTTATGTTCGAATGAGATATATGTATTTTATTCGAATTATGTGTGCAAACATACTTTTGTATGCGTAAGTGACTATATGAAAATACATGCAAATATCTTGCCAAAATCTAACCAGTGTAGAGGCAAAATTGAAATCATATATATTTTACACATCACTAAGTAAGTAATTGGGTAATCGTACATTTTTTGCAGCACTAATTTGTTTGGATTTTTTTAAAAAGTGACACAAAGCGGTATTACAAACAATTTGTTTATATATCAATTAGATTCGTAGTAATAAATTTATTGAAGCTGTTAGTTAAATATAATGGGTGGATGTCACTGCTGTTTTCGAAATTGTAGTGTGTCTACTAAACGAGTTCCCGCAATGCATTTCTTTCGCTTTCCCATAAAGGACAGGCTACGGCTTAATAAATGGCAGGTGATGACAACTCAAGATATTTCAGCGCTAACTGAAGCACAATTGAAGAATAAAGTTGTTTGTGCACGACATTTTCGAGATGAGTGTTTTATGAATTATAAGAGAGAAAGTTTAACTAAACTTGCTATACCCACGTTGTTTAGATTGCCAGGCAATCAAGCACTAGATTTTGAGTGTGAAGATGAGAATGGCAAACCAGCATTAGTCACGTTAGAGCCCACAAAATTACAACATTTAATACCTCCGAAGGAATATGTATTACCATTTGCTCTTGAAGATGACCAAATTTCTCTTGAAATGTATAACAAACCCGAACAAAATGACATAGAGCCAGATAATACCATAATACTGGAGGAAAACATAGATTTCATCGCACAGGATACAAACGCAGTATCAGTGGTGGATAATACTACGGAATTTAAAAAAACTAACAACGAAATTAAAAGTCCAACAACATCGAATAAGAGAAAAGTTACAATATTGAATAAAGATGTGATTATAGCAGAATGTAATAAAAAATTTAAACCAATGGATACGTCTATGCCCCCAGAAAATGAAACTGAGTTCGAAATTCGAATATTGGACGATTCGATTTTACATGATGAATCTGAAAAGTCTGTTACAAACTCTCCAGAAAGTCAAGAGTATAATATTACTGTGGTTGATTATGAAAATCCTAACGATGAATTACTGACTAAACTAAAAGAATTGGAGCAAGATCTGCAAAAAATTACTGAGGATAATATAAAGTTAAGCGAAGAAAACAAAACCCTAAATGAAGAGAAAACAAATTTAATTAAAGAAAAAAATTTTTTAGTTCAAAACAAGAAACTTTTGTCAGATATTAATAAGAATTTTGAAAATTTAAATAATGACTTAACCACTAAGTGCAGTGATATGGAAAAAAAATATGAAAAGTTAAATATGAGCTACATACTTCTTCAGGAAGAGCACGCAAACGTACAGAGAAATCAGCAGCAAACTTCTAAGGTAAGTTCAACAAAAGAAACTACAAATGATAAGTTGCAAGCGTCCATTCCCACATCATTATCGAAAGCACAACTTTTCAATGGTATCAAAAAGTATTTGTCAACTTCTATGCTAGCCTTACTACGTATGGAAATGTTCGGCAGCTCTGAACGTGAATGGAAACCTGACGAACAACGTACATCAGTGGATTTGTTACGTTTAGGCGAAAAAGTTTTTACTTATTTCAGAGACGAGTGGCGTTTCCGCTTGCCACCACTACGTCAAGTACGTGAATGGTTAGATAACCACGTAGGAACCGATGAAGATGAAGAAGACTTATAGGAATTAGCTTCAAAAACTATAAAACTAAAAGATTGTTTGGTAATTAATAAATTGTTAATTTTGTAAATAACTTTTAATAAATTATATACATAAACATGTATAAAATGAAACTATTTTCAGATATTTTTTAATTTAAAAGAAACACTACAAATTTACTACTTTTATGGACAATTTCACGACGAGAATTTATTAAATGATACTTTATTGTTCAATATTGAACACTTAAGGATCTTAGTAATGAGAACAAAATATTATTAGTAATACATCATTTAACTTTCGTGGTATAATAACTACCTCCAATTATTGGATTGGTTGCCGCTTCTCCAACTTAACCTCAACTAACATCATTTAACTAGTGTTTAAATATATTTTGTGATGTTAGATATTATTTACGCACTAAATTTAGATTTACAAACTTAAGCAAATAATAAATTAAAAGGATAATATAATTTTTAAAGGGTATTCGAAGCCTAGTAAAGTGATAAAGTTTTATATATATTTATTTTTGTGAAATTAGAAATTTACAAAGGCATCAAGTCTGTTAAGGCTTTTGGTATTTGAAAAAATATTACGAGCTTCTTATTATATTATAAAAATATATCTTATACATACACTCCGTTTCACTTGAATAGCACACTTCACATATTTAATTTCTTTTCTTTATATCTTTTAAACTAATGAAATAAAACAATTTTTTTTTAGATTTTATAGGTAGTGTGATTAATAATCTTTATTATAAAAATAAAAAAACTTGCATTTTTTCAATAATTTTTATATTAAAAGATGACAAACTAAATAAGTATATAAATATCATAAAAATTTCGTTTCACTTGAATAGCACATTTTTGTTTTTTAAATAAAATTAATTATTTTATGCACTAGGGACAGTTTATTTATTTATTATTAAGGATTAATTTGTTAAAATCAACATTTTAGTAATGAGTTGAACCTCCCTTGTTTAATATAACCTCATAGATCCTATCGGGAAGGGAATCATACAAAATTTTAATATAATCAAGGGAAATTGTAGCCCATGCTCGTTGAATTGCTTCAATTAGTTCAGTTTTTGTTGAATATTGTTTTCCAGATTCATACACTTTTCTAGCCAGCCATCCCCAAACATTTTCTATTATGTTAAGGTCCGGCGAGTATGGTGGCCAGTTCAGAACAGCAACATTTCTGGATTCAATGAACGATTTTACAACACGAGCAGTATGTATTAGGGCGTTGTCTTGTTGGAAAGTCCACGGCAATTGTCCAAAAAGATTCTCTAATGAAGGAAAAGCTTTTTCTAAAACTCCTTGGTACGATTTTGCGTTCATAGTTGTGTTTAAGAATTGGAGTTCACAAGTGCCATAGTAAGATATGGCTCCCCAAACCATAACTCCGCCCATTCTACTGTGTAAACGCTCCAACTGATGAGTTTCTTTTCTCAAATCATGAAAATAATAATTGTAACCGTCGGGCCCTTCCAAATTAAACTTTTTCTCATCAGAGAAAACAACGCGATTCCACTCCCTGCTCCATGACATGTTGGCACGGCAAAAAGTCAATCGAGCTTCTTTACGTATAGGGTTAAGTGGTGGTTTTTTTTTTAATTTAAGCCATTTTAGATGTTGGGCATTCGAAATAACCCGCCATACGGTAGTTTTGCTTGCATTGACACCAGCTTTTAACCTTATTTTGTTAACCGAATCATGCGAATTCGAAGCTTGCCTCAAAATAGCCCGCTTATCTGCATAGCTGAGGACGCTTTTTACACGGCCTTTCATATTTTTTCCATAGTTAAGATCATTTTGAATGAAATTGTATATCACTTTTCTGCTTCTTCCGATTTTTTTTGATATTTGAGTTACAGACAGGTCAGAATCAATGAAGCTTTTTATTTTGACCTGTTCTTCGTTGGTTAAAGTATTACCACGACCCATTATTAATTTAAATCGTCACACTGTATTTAAAACTCACAAATAAATAAAAAAAACTTAATATTGTGGTGAGCTGCTACTCATAAATTAAATTGGAAACCAAATGTGCTATTCAAGTGAAACGAAATACATACTAGTTATTGATGCAAATTCAAAAGAAAATAACGGGAAAATTTAACGGTACATTTCTGCAGTACTAATTTTTTTTGGAGGAAACTACATAAGGAAACAAACAAAAAAACCCAACAATTATTACAACAAAGTCATGAGATCATTGATAGATAAGCAAATAATAATGCAAAAACGAAGTGTGCTATTCAAGTGAAACGGAGTGTATATTTTATTTAATAGTTTTACAACTTGACCGAGAATTAATTGAAAAGGTGGGCCCATGTGTTCATCATTTTACCAATTTCCAAGTTAACGTGCTAAGTCTAAAGACGTCCATAACTTGATAAAGTCTAATAAAATATCTCATAAAAAAAATTAATAATATGCTTATAATATTTCCACATTCTATTATTGAAAATGCATTGCATAATTTTTTCCATTCCTATTCTGGACATGTTGATGGCTTCTCTCCCGTTACACATTTTTGCTGTGCATCTGAGAAATAACCTTCTGGGCAGGCCATACCAATAGCTGTCCATACATTTTTTCGATACTCACAATAGATGTAACTTAAATAAAGTATAAAAAAAAATAATAATATTAGAATACTTTACAAATTTTAAGGTATATATAATTTAAAACTTACGCCCTGCAAGTCAGATCATTAGTATTCGTGGTGTAGAAATATGTTTTGGTGGTTTGTACCGCTGCACACACCACTTTTAACTGATCAGGTGACGATGTTGTTGTCGGTGGTGGTTCTGTTGGAATAAGTGAAGTACCGCATGTCTTTTCAAATCCATACTTATAATGTTAGAAAAAGAGAATAAAAAGTAATTATAAAAGTAACTGAAAATAAATGTATCTATAAAAAATGTACATGATCTAGTACGCATTGTTCTGCACATATAGTTTGCTCCTTTAAATATAAATCATTACTGCACACTTCAGTTGGCTCACATGTAAAGATATGATCATAAACTGGTGTTTCATTGGCACAACGCACAAATTTTGTATCAGTAACGCAAGTAAATCCGTTGTGTTCAGCGCTATTATCTGGACATTTGGCACAACTGCCTTCACACGGAATCACAATTGTTGTTGTATGAACAATACTTGACTCGTACTCACATATTGCATTGGAACTAGTGCATGCCTGTAATCCACATGATTTAGAAGTACCAATCGGAACTCCTAATATATTTTTTAAATATTGAAGAATAATTTAATATTAATATTTATTCAATAAAATATATTATCTCTATATTACCATCATCACATAATTTATAGCTATTGTAGGAATCACACATAACTCCATTGCTCATGCATTCTTTACACTGAAAAGGAAATTAAGGATTCAGGTCGATATATTATAGAAATATTATCATCAGTTTAAAATGGTCATTCCCAATGTATTTAAAATAGTTATTAGTAGTTTGTTTATTTTAGTACAGAAGTCAAAGACTTACAGTATTGGGTTATATTTATCTTTAAAAAAAACATAAACTTTGATAGAAATTATTATTGAAAAATAAAAGCTTTTCTTTTACAAAACAAATATAATTCGGAGAAAATTAAATATATTCAGTAAAAATACTTCTTTCTTAGGCTACTTTCTTAATCTTAGACAAACCTATTATCACCAAGTTATTTCTACAAGTTTGTAAACCGAAATAGATTAAATGTTGTTTAATTCAGGGACTACATTGATTACTAGACCGAAAAATGTTTAAAATGCTTTTGTATGTTATATTTAAACAAATTGTGATGTGGGCATTCCAACCCTTAATGAATCTTTAACGAGCATCTCTCAATGAGTACTGAAGATAAAGTTGATAAGTAAAGACTTTTGAAAATCTTAAGATAGTCTTTTTGCAAGACTATTATTTTGGAAAATTTTTATGTTCAAAAAATGACAACCTTAAACCTTAAAGTTTAATATAAATATATAGATAATATAAATGGAATAAGACAAGCGTTTCAGCTTTTGGAAACTTGTGATAAATAATCTTTTCATAGAGTGTGATATGAGGGACTTATTAATAAAATCGTATATTTATTATCTTCAAATATCTAGGACTCTATTCTCTCAAAAAATATAAACAAATAAAACACAAATCATATATTTCTTCAACTTTACCTATAGATATTGACGTCCACTAAGCTATTATGTTTAGTCTTTTTCTATGCGATATGTTCGTTTTAGGTATTTCTACAAGTATTCGCATTGTTTCTCTTTACATTTCTCAAGGAAACACCAATTTCTATCGTTACAAAAAGACCTATTTCTGTTGAAAGTATGACTAACCAGATGGCATATTAAAATAAACATAAAAACTGACGCCTTGTCAACTTCAACATTAATAGAGGTACCGCAGTAATAATTTATATAAATAACATGCTGATACCTCAAGCGAATAATGCTACCTACTTTAGGAATTTAAGCAGATATGTTAGAAAACTAACCTGGCCTAAGCACATAGCAATAATAAAAGTCCGTATAAGACTTTTGTTAGTTTTCATACACTTGCTACTCAACAGCTAATCTCCTGTAATTCTAAAATATAGGGTTTTCTTATACAACAGTACTATTGGAACAGTTTGAACATATGGTCATTTGTACATTTGATAACATCAATACATCAAACATAGATATCTTACAAAGAGTTCACTCGATATTACTAAGAGCAATCACAGAAGCAGCGTGCTATGTCAGAGAGAAAAGCATTTATACAGATCTAGAGATACTAATGACAAAATCAGGAAAATATTAAAACAAAATACATAAGAGGCTGTGCCCTCATTGTTCACTCATCTCAGACTTATGGATATGTAAAGTTTATATACTAAAAGATAAAGCTTAAAAACGGCAAGCCTTGGAAAAAAAAGTTTAGAGAAAAATATTTGGATCAGTTAAAGAAGTTTTAATCAATCTCTTAAAAATTTTGAAGATTACTCGATCATTAGCTTGAGTAGATTATGGACGAAAAAAAATGGTCGGATTCATAAAGATCCAGTGGTGGAACATATATTACACCGACCGGATAATAAAAAACCGCTTTCCATGGAAGCGTAAAAGATGGTCCACAAAAAATATATATTAATGCGATCGAAAATGGTCTAAAAAGATGAATGTATGGAGCTACAAACAAATAAAAGATGATTGATATATCCGTTATGCTAAGAATATAACATATGTTATATATCTACTTAATACTTATTTGGATCTCAGAATTCGTAATTAAATTTATATGTTTTAAATGACAAAAAGCAAATTGTTAAAAGATCTATTATTATATTTTACAAAATTGTTTAAAATTTCTTAGCACGCAGCTTGATTTCTATTTTTAAGCCAAGATATTTCTATAGTACTTGTTCATGACTTTAAAGAGTATTCTAACGAAGTTTCTTATTACTTTTAAACTAAATTTTTTAACATATTAATTTTTCTTTGGAATTTAAATAGTTTTCTGTTTAAATATCGGAACTTCATACTCACTTTTTGTCCATTAGATAGTTTTGTCATACATAGTTAATAATACAACAGCGAGCAACAACAGCTTCAGCTATAAATTATTTTTTTTTAAATATATTTATTGTATTAATTTTATTATTAGACAATTTTAACTTACTTTTTTATGCATTTTTATTTTATATAAATTTTATATTTAATACTATTTAAATCTGACTATATCATTTATTTTTAATTTTAATAAGTTTAGCTCGTGCAATTGATTCTTTTAAAAATGCGCTTGCGAATTATTATTTGCCAGTTGCTTCAAACGACTTTTATATCAAAATATCAATGTCACAACTTTTATTAATTGACTTTTTTAAGAACACAACAAATTCTCAATATATTATCATAATTTATCGCATTTATTGCTGTATTTATGTTTACAACATTTTGACCATTTCTTTGAACAAAATTTTCATATCGGTACCTTAAATATCGCCAAAGACTTTCACATAATCGGAGAGGTACACCTCTCCTCTAAACATGAGCTACTTCCTATTTTGTTTAGTCTGAACAGTTAGTTACCCAAAGCTATTGAATTTTATTTGACTGCATATAGTTTATCGCATTATCAGTAAAAAGTTAATAAAAAACGAATGACCCATTTTATTGGTACTATAAAAGCGATCTATACAAACTACCAAGTGAATGTTTTTAATTAGACTTTTTTTCAATTGCTATAGCATCATAATTCATTATGAATTTCAAAAAGATATAGTAGTATTCGGGCCTATTATAATTAAAGCATAACTCACAGAAGTATGTCAAATAGTTTTAAAGACGTGTATATTCTATATCCTCGACTTACAATAAAAAGGTGTAAATCCGCTTTTTCAAATTTCACAATAGAGTTGAAAAATAATTTTTTTAGTTATTTGAATATATTTTGCAATCTCAAATTAGATGTTGTGCATTTATTTTTTCAAATAAAAAAAACCCATAACACTCTGGTTATATATATATGTGGATTAAGCCCTTTTGCAAAAGCACATTTTCGTTCACTTGATTTGCTTTTGTGAATGGAACTTAGCACCTTTTTCACTCTATACCAACGATTTATTATATAAATAATATATAATAAATGGATTTTATTATTCAACAAAAATTTTGCCTCAGAAGATTGTAGGAAACTTTGAAAACAATAAACACATTTACAAAAACAAGCACTTCAAATGATTAATTAGTTAATGAACACTAAATCGCATAGTGTGATATAAATATTACGTGAAAGACTCAAATTTTAAATATTTGCTCATAAAATTGCTCTTTAACTGATTTATCATTAATTTTTTTATTTTATTTTTATTAACTTATAATTATCCTTTCTATCGTTAGTAACATTCAGTTTCACTGTCTTTTACATCAATCCATTATGATAAATTTTTAGTAGTAACTTAAGCATCCTTAATGTATCCCTGTCTATTGTACTGCAACACTACATTACTTAAATTGCTTATATTATAGTTATATTATAGGATATAATCAAGATTTTTGGATACACTCTTACGTCTTCACTAATACATGCAAAGTTTTGTTCGCAGACAAAATTTGAAAATAATACCAATACCAAGAATAATAATATACATATATCTTGTTCAAATCTAGCCAGTGTAGAGACCAAGTTAAGACAAGGTTCTTTAAGCATTCAGCTGTTATACTTCGTATTATGGTTGTTCTTAACAATATTATAATAAATTTAAATATATTTATATCATGTAATATATACCATACAAAATAATTGTAAAAAATAAATTCTTTCACTAAAATATATTAGATATTCTTATATATTCTCAGAATAACCATTATAATTACATACAATGAGGGGGAAACTTATTTACCTATATAATTTTCCAAAGTTCGTTAGTTTTCCATTTTTGAGTATTATTGATGCCTAATTTAAATTCCCACCTGCATATCAATTAATTTATTATCAATCTCTTTAATAGGGTAATGGAAGTATATGATTAGAACACATTCTTATCAGGCACACATGTGGTATGAAAACAAAAGATTAAGAATTGAGGCAACTCTATTTATGAAAGCTATCGCTATATATTAATATTAGGTTTATTTGAACGAATACAATCAGACTTTTTATTAAAGAAGTAAACTAATATAATTAATTATTCTCAAGTATTGTAAACATTCATTTATTTCAATATTATAAAATTCACATATACATTCGTAATAATAGATTAATAGAGTTTACGAAAAAATAATATTATAATTTATTCCATCATCAGGACGGAGAGTTGTGACTTGTGCCACAGGGCATGTTGATGGCTTCTCTCCCGTTACACATTTTTGTTGTACTTCTGAGAAATAACCTTCTGGGCAGGCCATACCAATAGCTGTCCATGCATTATTTCGTAACTCACAATAAACGTATCTTAATATGGTATGAAAGAAAATGATAGATAAATATTTTTTTTTTAAATTTAAACGTATATATTAGTTTAAACTTACGCTCTACAAGTTAAATCATTAGTATTCGTGGTGTAGAAATATGTTTTGGTGGTTTGTACCGCTGCACAAACCGCTTGTAACTGTGCAGGTGACGATGTTGTTGTTGGTGGTGGTTCTGTTGGAGCAACGTATGCTGGATTTGTGCAACTCTCAGTCATACCATACTAAGAAGTCATAATAAATTACACAGTATTATTAATTTAAATAAATATTGATGAATGTTTAATAAATTTACGTGATCTAATACACATTCTGGTGCACATATATTTTGGTCCTTCTGATATATGTCATTACTACATTCCTCGTCAGTGTCACATTCGAAAATGGCACTATAAACTGGTACTTGATCAACACAACGCACATATTCCTTTTGAGAAACACAAGTAAATCCTGTGTGTGCAGCGCTACTATCTGGACATATGGCACAACTGCCTTCACATGGAATTACAAGTTTTTTGCTGTCAATATCTGCTTCACTCTCACATATTGCATCTGAATTGGTGCATTTTTTGTCTCCGGAACATGATTTCGATTTACCCATTGGAATCCCTAAGAGATGCATTATAATTTAAAAACGATTTGTTTTGAAGTTAAATATTTAAAGTTATATTACCACCATCGCATAGAACATAACTAGTGGGACTATCACACAAAACTCCGTTGCTCATACATTCATTACACTGAAAAGATAATTAAATATTTTATTTGTTTTATTATAATATATATTGCTAATAATTAAATAAAGTTTAATAAACAATTTATTATAATAAAGTTAATTTATGTAGCTGTGGTTTATGCGTTAATACTAAAAATAACACAGTAAGTTTATTTGTTGTTTACGAATAAATAATAAAATTTAACAAAACTAATAATTTGCATTAATTAACTCAAGTGTATGTTGGACCTAGTTATTAAAACTCGGTTCTAATTTGTTAACGTTCAACTTCTGACACTTAAAGTCCAAAATTTTATGTCAGGAATAGATGTTTCCAAAACAAACCATTGATAGATATTTGGCACTTCATAAAGAGCTATTTATACTGGGCCTTAAATCAAATGCCTTCTACCCTCTCTATTAATTATTTGATCATAATAGTGTGATAAAAAATGGATCGCTAAGTATTTAATATAATTTGATATTATTAGTATTTTTAATAACTGAGGAATTGAATAAAAATCTCACAAATTTATTTTACTTATTAACTGGGAAAAAAAATATTCAAAATTCTAATAGGTCTATTAGGTCTATTAGGACTATTATGTCTATTAGGTCTATTAGGACCTATATGTGTTTTATAAAGTATGTATGCTCTAAGTTTTTTGATTTAACGATTTAAGGACAAATCTATTAAATTAAGACCATAATAAGAAAATGTGTCTGAAAAAAATTCTTTAATAAAAAATAATGCCAACCATGATATTAAGGGTTGTAATTAATGGTATTAATAACAACTAATAACACAAATCAATTCAATAATTTTTAAAAATTTGAAGTTTTAGTTTTTAAGTTTTTAGTTTTTCTTAGTTTTTTAGATCTAAAGTTACAGATTACATTTATACAAGGACTAAAATAATTCAAAAATAACACTTTGTTACAATAGATTATCTAATTAAACTCTATATGAGAATCCATTAAAATAAGGACTTTTATAATCATTTTAAGGACTTGTAAATAGTTATAGGTAAGTTTGGAAAGATTAATATGAAAGGGCGCAGCATTTAAATTTTTGTTACATACTTTGAGTGCAAAAAAATATTTATATTGCAATTACTGTTCAACAGAATCTATATATGCTATAATAAGGATGTTACCAATTAAAATATTTAAGGATACATTAAAAGTTACAACACTATTAATTTTTTCAAAACTAAATAATTTCCTAATATCTACTTAATTAAATTTCTATTTATAAGGTAAAATTGAATTATAATTTATATATTAAAATTAATTAAACTGTATAGAAGGATTTCTTAATCTTATTCTAATTATTTAAAACCCATTTGTTTAAAGTCAAACAAATCGTTAATTATTATTTTTTGTTTTTTAAATATTTAAAACATATATAATTATTTATAATAAAAGGATTATAATTATTTACTTACTTTTTGTCCAAAAGAAATATCTGCCAAGGATAATAGAGATACTGCGAACAGCAACACAATCTATAAAATTTCATTATTAAGTTTTTAAAATTTTTTTTAAACAATTTTAACTCACTTTTTTCTGCATTTTTAATTTTTTTAAAATAATATAGAACCCAATATTCTTTATTTTTAACTTTAATAAGTTTTCTTTGCACAATTTCTATCGATATTGGTATTCTCTAACTCTTCACTTCAAAATGATTTTTTGCCAGTTGCTTCAAATGACTTTTATATCAAAATTTCAATGTCACAACTTTTATTAATTGACTTTCTTAAGAACACAACAAATTCTCAATATATTATCATAATTTATCGCATTTATTGCTGTATTTATGTTTACAACATTTTGACCATTTCTTTGAACAAAATTTTCATATCGGTACCTTGAATGTCGCCAAAGACTTTCACATAATCAGAGAGGTACACCTCTCCTCTAAACATGAGCTACTTCCTATTTTGTTTAGTCTGAACAGTTAGTTACACAAAGCTATTGAATTTTATTTGACTGCATATAGTTTATCGCATTATCAGTAAAAAGTTAATAAAAAATGAATAACCCATTTTATTGGTGCTATAAAAGCGATCTATACGAACTACCAAGTGAATGTTTTTAATTAGACTTTTTTTCAATTGCTATATCGTAGTTTTTAATGAATCAAAAAAAAATATATTAATATTATGAGAAGCGGGTCTATTGTAATTTGAGCATAACTGGCAGATGTATGCCAAATAGTATTCAAGACGTGTATATGGGAATTTTTTTACAAATTGGATTTTAGCCAAAAATGACCTTATCACCTCCCATTTGACTGAAATTGTTTTTCATTTCATTTTTTTTCTCGCAAAAAATTTTTGAACATGGGACGGGGACGGCCTCGTGCCCTAGGGGACTCGCAAAAAGTTACCGACTGTGGATTCTAAGCACTTAATAATATTTTGAACAATTTGGTTTGATAATGGCATTAACCATATTCGAAATATTTTCGAATGTTTATATAGTAATCAGATTCATGTTCACAGTTCCAGTCAGTATAGCTTCGATGGACAGAAGCTTCTCAAATTTAAAATTGATTAAGAAGTACTAGAAAAGTATGATGATCCAAAAGAGACTATCTCCATTCGAAATTCTATAAACTGAAGGGAATATAGCAGCTGGCGCAAATTATGAAATAATTTTAAAAAAAATTGAGTAAAGCTAAAAGTAGGAAAATTCATTTATTTTAATTTGATTAGCAAAAAACTTTCAATCATGCTTTGTCATATTCATTCACTTTTACAAATGGGTTATAAAGAGGGCCTCGCAATTCTAATGTCGCCGACGTCCAGAGTTGGTCTAGCTCCGCCACTGTCTCAGGCTCTATAAATGATAGAAACTTTATTGCGTTTTATATATCATTGATTGAACTTTTAAGAAATATTGTAAACAATTAAAATTATTTATATTTAAGTACTAATATTAACCATAAAACTTTCAGAAAAAAATTTTTTCCAAATGTGTCCCAAGAATTTTCATTAAATTTTATTGGAATATAAAAATTGTCAGGATGGCATTGGTTTTTAAAATTGTTTGAAACTTCTTTTTCTCCCGCAAAACATATAAAGCTTATGCGTACTACACTTCCGAAGAATTATCGAAGAAAAATTTTTCTATATTATTGTTGATTTCAATTTTTAATAAAATTAAAACCCAAAAATTTGAGGGGTATGACCTCAAAAGTATTTCTAAAAAATTAACACATACACACAATTTTTCAGTAAAAAAATAAAAAGAACGTTCGGATTAACCAATTTTCTACATAAAAAATAAATATTTCCAGTGTAATATTGCTTTTAGAAGTATTTAAAAAAATTAATTTATCAGACGTCTTTACGTCACTCATACGACCCATAATACCATTAAATCAATTCTACACTGAAAAAATTATACAAAAATGTTTACTTTTTATTTCTGAATTGAATTGATTATTAAATTTTATATAAAAATGCAACTTTTTATGACGTTATTATTTTTTAGCATTTTTATTAAATAAATTAGTAAAATATATATAAATTAATAAATTATAATTATTTTATAAATATTAATATTAAATAAATTAATAATAAATTAAGAATATTTTTCACGTCATGCGAATGCCAATTTTAGAATTTGCTTCTGATTGACGCAGCTAATTCTTCTAGGACAGCGAAAGCGTTTCCCAGGTTTATGAATGAAATCTATGTCTTTTCCAAAGTCGGGGAAGCGTTGCAAAAACTTGAAAAAATTAATTTTAAAATGATCCAAAAATCTCTCTCTACAACAAAATGAGAGAACAGAATTGAAGAAATACAAGCAATATTTTTGCAATTTGATGTTGTTATTGAATGCGTAAATGACCTGAGAAATAAAATTGATGATTTCTGAACCTCTAAGCGATTGTGATGCAATCCTAAATGAGATATTGATGCTCACATATATATGTGGTTTCATATATGACATTAATCAATTGAAAAGTATACCAAACGAAGACCTTTTCAAGTATTATAATGCTTTAGGTATGATATTTCGGGACAATGAAAACACCTACATTCATCATCCTAAATCGCACAGTAAACTCACTCCACGATATAAACAACTCATTCGGTATAGAAAAGAATATAATTTTAAGAAAGTATATCCGAATGTTTATATAGTAACCAAAATCATGCTTATAATTCCAGTCTGCACAGCTTCTTCTGAAAGAAGTCGTTAAAATTGATTAAGGCTTACTTGAGAAGTACAATGAGTTAACCGAGACTATCTGCAATATCAATTCTATCAATTGCTGTGAAAATAGCAGCTGGTGCAAACTATGATATAATTTTAAAAATATTCAGTGAAGGTAAAGGTAGGAAAATTCATGTCAATTCTCAAAACCCCATGGATTCAAACCCCCTCAGAATCTCAGATTAGTTTTTGCGCATTTCTTTTTTCGAATAAAAGCAACCCACAACTTTTCGGTTATTTACGTATGTGGATTAAGACCTTTTGTATAAGCACATTTTCGTTCACTTAGTTTACTTTTGTAAATGGCACTTGACACCTTTTTTAGTCTTAACCAACGATTTATTATATAAATATATGTTGTACCTGGCTGTAGTTTTGCTGGCGACTAAAACGTAGAGAGCCGGTGCAGAATATTTAAAAAAATAAGTATTACAGAAATAAATTGGACTGAGACAATGCGCAGAAATGGATTACTCATAAATATATACAATACATACTAAATATACAGAGCACTACATATCATGAAATAAATGTAAATGGTAAACTTCTGTACCAACATAATTTTTTCATTTTTGAGTATTATTGATGCTTGCTTTAAATTCCCACTTGCATATCAATTAATCCGACATCAATTTCCATATGATTAGAACACATTCTAATCAGACACGCATGTGGTATGAAAACAAAAGATTAAGTGCCTCAATTCTATTTAGGAGAGCTATCGCTATATATTTCTATTTAGTTTATTTGAACGAATACAATCAGACTTTTTATTAAAGAAGTAAACTAAAATTTTAATAAATCTCAAGTATTTTAAACATTCATATATTTCAATATTTTTAAATACATATATATATTCTTAAATATAGATTAATAAGATTTGAGAAAAAGTAATATTGTAAATTATTCAATTTTTAATTATCAACTTAAAATTGCACAACCTCTTAAGGTGCGAGGGTTGTGACTTGTGCCACAGGGCATGTTGATGGCTTCTCCCCCGTTACACATTTTTGTTGTACTTCTGAGAAATAACCTTCTGGGCAGGCCATACCAATAGCTGTCCAACCGACCGGATTACTTCGTTTCTCACAATAAACGTATCTTTATATGGTATGAAAAAGAATAATATATAAATAATTTTTTAAATTTTAAAGTATATTAGATAAGATATATATAAGTTAAATAAGATAAAACATACGCTCTACAAGTTAAATCATTAGTATTCGTGGTGTAGAAATATGTTTTGGTGGTTTGTACCGCTGAACACACCGCTTCTAACTGACCAGGTGACGATGTTGTTGTTGTTGGTGGTTGTGTTGGACTAACTAGACTTGCGCAAGTCTTGGTCATACCATACTAAGAAGTCATAATAAATTATACAATATTATTAATTTAAATAAATATTGAGGAATGTTTAATAGATTTACATGGTCTAATACGCATTCTTTTGCACATATATTTTTGTCCTTCTGATATAGGTCATTACTGCACACCTCATCGGTGTCACATTCGAAAAGGGCACTATAAATTGGTACTTGATCAACACAACGCACATATTCCTTTTGAGAAACACAAGTAAATCCTTTGTGTGTAGCGCTACTATCTGGACATATGGCACAACTGCCTTTACATGGAATTACAAGTTTTTTGCTGTCAATATCTGCTTCACTCTCACATATTGCATCTGAATTAGTGCATTTTTTGTCTCCACATGTTTTAGGTTTACCCATTGGAATCCCTAAGAGATGCATAATAATTTAAAAATGATTTGTTATAAAGTTAAATATAATTTCTATATTACCACCATCGCATAGAACATAACTATTAGGACTATCACACAAAACTCCGTTGCTCATACATTCATTACACTGAAAAGATAATAAAATATTTTATTTGTTTTATTATAATATATATTGCTAATAATTAAATAAAGTTTAATAAACAAGTTATTATAATAAAGTTAATTTATATAACTGTGGTTTATGCGTTAGTACTAAAAATAACACAGTAAGTTTATTTGTTGTTTACGAATAAACAATAAAATTTAACAAAACTGATCATTTGAATTAATTAACTCAAGTATATGTTGGAACTATGTATTAAGACATGAATCTATGATTCAAATTTGATAGTGTTCAATTTTAGACAAAATTTAAAAAATTATATACGAACAATTAAACCAATAGATGTTTTCAAAACAGATGAATGATAAATATTTGACACTCAATAATTGATGTTTATACTGGACACTGGATGTTTATTCGATGTACTTAAATCGACTGTCTTCTGCTCTCTCTAATTAATTTCTTGTTATAATAGAATTTTTAATTATGTGATGAAATAAGGAATGATAAGTATTTTGTATAATTTGATATAAATTGCATAGAAAAGCTTCTATACCTTATTCTAATTACTTTAAGCCCAATTGTTAAATGTCAAACAATTCGTTAATAGTTATTTTTTGTTTTTTAAATATTTAAAACATATATAATCATTTCTAATAAAAGGATTCTTTTATTAACTTACTTTTTGTCCATAAGAAAAATCCGCCAAGGATAATAGAGACACTACGAACAGCAACACAATCTATAAAATTTCATTGTTAAATTTTTAAAATTTTTTTTTAAAAATTTCAACTCACTTTGGTCGGCATTTTTATTTTATTTTAATTTTATATAAAACACAATTTAAATATGATATTATCCTTTATTCTCAACTTTAATAAGTTTGATTTGCACAATTTTTTCGATATTGGTATTCTCTAACTCTTCACTTGAGAATGATTATTTGCAAGTTGCTTCAAACGGCTTTTATATTAAAATTTCAATGTTACAACTTTTATTAATTGGCTTTCTCAAAGATACAAGACATTCTCAAAATGTTATAAAAATTTATCACATTTATTACTTTATTTATGTTTATGATCCTTTGATCATTTCTCTAGGCAGAACTGTAATGTCGACACCTTGAAAATTGTCAAAGACTTTGCCCGATTATGGTGAACATACCTTACCTCTAGAAATGAGTTGCTTTTAATTTTGTTTACTTTGATAAATCATGAATGCCTTCATAAAAATTAATTGAATTTTATTTGATTTTATATAGCTTATCGCATATATGCTATTCTAAAAGTCTATAAAAAATGATAAATGATCCATTTTATTGGCCCTATGAAACACAGCCATAAGTTTACGACTAACACCGACTACCAAGTGAGTTACTCGTGTTTTTAATAAGAAATGTTTTGATAAAAAATACTATAGAATAATGAGTTCTTTTTTCATAAAATAAAAATACAAAATAAAAAGAGCATCTACACATGTTTACTAATTTTCTAATAAACCTTGAAAATCATAATATTTCCACTATTTGCAGTTTATAGATAATGTTTATTGAAGTGCTTATAAATATAGTATTTCGCATATTTTTAATTTCATTAAAGAAAGTTTGAAAGCAATTAAATATTGTTTCCTATAATAAAAAATTATGAAAGCAATCTTGAATAAAAAAATAAAACGTATTATGGAATTCCATTTGAAAATTCTTAGTTAACTGAAAATGTTGTCACAGTTGGTAACGCACTTGTTAAGAAAGGTTGTTTCATTATCTTTTTTCTACTTTTGGTACATTGAAGAAGTCGAGACAAAATTAATATGGTTGACCACAGAATATACATAGAACCTTTAATTTCCAGCAATACCATATGGATCTTCCTGTAATTATTATGAATCATGTTCAGATTTCTCTGCAAATCTAAATACTACTTCAAGTTGCAATTCTTAAACCGAGGCAACAGTTATTTTACAACAATTAAAAAATAATTATATCTTGATCCGAGGTAATTATAGCACATATATGCCATGCTATCTGGGCGGTCAATGCAGAAATTAAGTTCTCAAAAATATTTCAATAATAACATTATTCATTGCGTTTATTTAAAACAGCAAACATCGTAGTACACAATTATTTAATTTTTATCAATAGTTAGTGTGGCCTTCTGAAGCAAATTTAGAACAATTTTTACTATTTTCTGAAAAGTTTTGAAAATTTACTTAAAATAAAAAACGCTCACCATTATTTCCTAAAAATATTAAGCATAGATTGAAAATGTTATACTACATATAAATTGCCCTACTAATTGGAGTTCATGCCAATAGCGCAACAGTGTCAATCCATTTAAGCTAACAATCAGTATTCAATATACATATCTAACATAAATAAAATCAAAGCTCTAAAGAACAATTTCGCAAAAACAGGATAACAAACGAATATAAGTGCTAGTTGAAAGCACAAGGCCAACATAAGTGGAAGTTAAAAGCACCAAAAAACGCGGAAAATGCCACAAAAATTGTATTAAAAATTTCTAAATACACCTAGAAAGATAATGCGGAGTCAGAAGTAGTTAGAATTAATAAACTTAAAGTCGATTAAATGAACTTAGTTTACAAACATATTTTTAAAAAAGTTTTTGTTCAAATGTGAAATAATATCAGAAAAAATTTAGAAAATTTAGGAAATATTTCAAATGATATAAAATACTAATAACACCTAATAGGTTATATATTATAAATCAGGCCAATGTCTCAAGAAAGCTGTTTAAGTTTAAGTTGTTTTTTAGCAATTGTATATAATTTCCTCTTTTTTTGTTAGTATCTAATTGACAATGAGAATAAATTCATTCATTCCATATTTCTCTAGAGGACGGTAAACATAAATTTCTCTTTAAAATGCATAGGCTATTATAAATAATTTAAGATCCCAATGGGCGTATAAATATAAGTCATACATTTACTCTAACTTGACTATGTAGTTATATTTACTTCTTGGTACATTATTGATTATAGCAAAAACAGAACAACGTACTTTGAAGTACCAAGTTTGGTCATATGAGCACAAAATATCCTCAGCATCACAAATGAAATAAAAACTGGTCAATGATCTTCATTATTTTGAAATTAATGAAGATCATTGAATAAACTTGTTGATATAAAAAAATTATCAAGTGAACCCGTCTGTAACACTTTTCATATAAGAAAGTTACCAATAGAATAGTTATCACATGTACTCAGAAAGATCCAAATCTGTACCCATTTAATCACTTTCAACCAGTGTTTGCCTATATATATATTAAATTCTTTTACTCCTACGAGGACTATAGGGCCGTAACAAATGTCTTCCACTCTGTACAATTGGTAGCCAGTAGGTTAAACTCTCTCCAGTTTGTGTAACATTTCCATGTCAATTTGCCTTCTCCAGGTGTTAGCAGGTCTGCCCCTTCTTCTGGAACCCATTGGGTTCCACTCAATCGTCATATATATATCGTTTTGCCTAATCTATATGAGAAATAACTACACCGCAGTCATTGATTGATTTGAATGATGAAAATGAGGTTGTTAGTATCATTTTTGAAAATAACACACTATTATAATCCGGATATTAAAAAGGAGACGAAAATGAAAATTTCTTCAGATTAATGTACTCCGATAAAAACGAAGACAGTTTCTTCAGCAATATAAGTTACGGCATTTGGTTTTTAAAATGCACATTCCATATAATATATATATACGTCGAAAAATATAAAACATGATAATATTATACGACCGCTGAAATGTTGAAATTAGAAAAAAATGTCAACAACGCATTCGGTCATTCGTCAGCAATTTTAACAGAAAAGTTAATCGAATAACATTATGTGTTTTTATTACGTCCACCAGATCTGGGTCCTATTAATTTTTATTTATTTCTAAACATCAAAAAATTGTTCATTGAAAAGAAAAATTAATCAATTTCGAACGTAATTACTACTCGAGTAATTACTACTCGAGATCCTTACATCAAAGAAACATATGCTTCGGAAGGTTTAAAGCAATAATACTGCCCTTGCATAGGCAAGTGTATAGACGTCAGGGAGGATTATGTTGAAAAACAAATTTAAAAATAAGTAAAAATTCTCTCTTATTTATTATTGATTTATCAAAAATTCCTTGTAAATCTAATATAATAAAATAAAATAAAATAAAATAATGAAAAATATTAATTTTTTGACAAAAGGAAAATTAATTATTTTGTTTTAAGTCATATAAAGTCCATTTATTTTTAATGTTTTTAAAGTACATATTTAATTTTTGAATTTAAATTAATTAAAATTAATTTAAAATTTAAAACAATGTTTTTGAATAATTAGTCACGTATTTGATGTTTTTGCTTTTTTAATTAAAAATTTTATTCCTGTTCCTCTCGATCACAAATAATTGAGTTATCCTGAAAGAAAAATAAATAATTAGGCTATAAATGCTTATAAACAAAATATTAATCTATTTTTTGTATTTTAGTTTCCGGTTAGTTTAATTATATTAGATTCTCTTCATTATAAAGTATAATAATAATATAAGTATATAAGTTTAATAAATGGAAATTGTCTTAATATATTTTTTATATCTTAATTATTTTCTTTTACCATAAAAAATTATTCAAATAGTGTAGAATAATAAATAAATTATAATATTTATAATAATATACAATATAATAGCATATAAATTAAATATATTTATATAAAATAATTATAATAGCATTACTTACATCAACTTCCTCAACACAAATCTCTTGTCTGGAAGCGTCACAAACTTTATTATCTGGACAAATGCCACCCACATCTGAAGGTACTGAAGAGCCGAAGCAGAATAAAAATGTGTTCCGACTTGTGCAAGTAAAAACTTTGTTGTTATTGCATCGACCACATGAGGCGGTATCACCACAGCTTGCCGATTGTGCACCTATCTGACCGCAAATAATCGGTAGTTTTGTGCAGACCATCGTTGCAAGAAAATGTTTGATCTGGATGGGGTTCAGTAGCTATTATAATGAATATTATAAATATTAATTATTATTCATGAGAAATATCAAATACTGATTTTACCGCCAAAACAAAATCTAAAAGAAGTTGCATTGATGCAGGCTACTCCATTATCCTGACATTGATTGCATGCGGAGTTCACTGAATGAAAAGTTGTATAAATCAATAGTGCATATATTGGAAATTGTTGCTATTTTTGCAAGAAAAAATTTTTAAAATTAAATTTTATAACAAAAACGATATTATAATATATATCTTACAATAAATTTCGAAATATACATTTTATGTATTTATTTTTAAAAAAGGCAAACTGTAATTAAAGAAAAGTTCGCAATGACTAATTTAAAGTTTGTTAAAAAATGGAACTAAACCCCAAAATTTATTTATCTTTGAAGATAATAATTTCAAAATTTTATCATTATTTAATTATAATTATATTACAATATAATTTTATTTCCGTAACAAAACTAATAATATCCAAACATGAACAATTAAAAAAGTACATACATATATCATTTAAAAATAAATTTGTTTGTGAAATATATTTCAATTTACAAAATAAATAGTGCGTTATAAAAATGTATTTAGAATGGCGAAAATAATATTATTAAATTTATTAAAAAATTCTAAGAAAAAATTAAATATGTATATTCTTCTTTTAATGATTTTATTGTTAATTTTTTTTTTAATATACTAATAACATAATTATTTATGGCAATTTATCTAGTGCAAATTTGTACTGAAATGGTAAATAAGTAGATCTAGATTTTGCTTTTAACAAAAAAAAAAGGTTTTAAACTGGACTGGTAGTCGCACAAGCATTAAAACTTACAAAAATTAGTAGGATAGAACACTTGATGGTCGCTGAGATGGCAGCATGAAGATCATCAGGTTAGTAGGAGACTAATGTTGGGTATTGTTGATCTAGGATAATGGTGGACCCCATTGATTCCTGGTACCAATGGTGTAGTCTGAGGATGCACATATGAATATGCATAGGAGGGGGTGGGGGCTATGGGCCATACTACACCAAGTATTAACGATGTGCAAACATTTATTTGCTATACACTATTTTTATCAAAATAGTACTAGGTATTCGTAATAACATTTCTTGCGTATTCAACGGCTGCATCATGTAGTCATGTATGTTCGTGCCTGGATAATTTAAATTATAAATATAGTAGGCCATTGGCAATGGCAAAGTATGTGTTCGGTGTGAAATCGATGAGATCGACACCACTGACAGTTAAGTGACATCTTCTACATCTATTGTATTTTTAGTTTTCATTTTTATTTTATTTTACTGTATTTATTTTAATCTTATTTTATTATTATAATCTTATTTTTATTTATTTTAATCTTATTTTTATTTTTATTCTATTTCATGGTTTAATTTTATTGACAAATTCAACTGACTAAACCGATCAGCTAACTGGAAAAGCTATGCAACTCCTATTTTTCCTCCATTCTGATGAGCTCAGGTAGTCCTAAACACGTCAGTGGAAACTTTTAAAGTACAAAAATGCTTTTCTTATTGTCGTTTATTTTTATTCTATTTCATGGTTTATTTTACTGACAAATTCAACTGACTAAACCGACCAGCTAACTGACGAAGTCATGTCTATAAGATATGCAACTTATATTTTTCTTTCACTCGAATAAGCTCAGGTAGTTCTCGAACATAATGCGTTAATGGAAATTTTTAGTGTAGAGAGATACTTTTCTTCGAATCCCTATTGTTACTCAAATAAACAATAACGGGACTAAAATTTGTTTATCTCATCAATTATTTATGCTAATTATACTGATACCTATATTTAAATAGATTAGAGTAACTATTATATGTGGGTAAGTGAGACCATCAACACAAGTATTGGGAGAAGTAAGTATATATATTTTTGTAGTTAGAGTTTCTCTGTTGCTGTTTTCCAATGACTAGTCATCACTGTGGGTCTCGCTATTAGGCGATATACTGTGGGCATGGCCTTACAACTATTATTTGCTTATATGAGTATGACAATGAAAAAACTCCAGTCTGGCTAAGAAAACTGAAGCTTTAAACACAAAACAAATATCACAGAATGACGTCGAAAGTTACACCAACACAAGAAATCATTTCTAAAACCATAATATGTAGTTTTAAAGGTTCGTCTATTAAAAAGGAGATAGAAAATATTTCGGCAGAAACCGAAATAAATAGTAGTCAAACGGTGCGAGCTGCAGGCTATATGGTAGATGTAGCAAAGCTTTCCAACCAAGTTCTGTAAATTTGTTTTGAGTCATTAGAGATTTATGTTGCTTGGTCATGATGAAACAAAATCTGCTCACTCACTTATGTGTTGGTCAATATTAGTCGCTTTTGTTTGATTGTTTTGTTCAATTTGTGATTACTCCACGACAGAATGAATCATTATACTAGACTGGAACAGCTTATAATAGACAATACCCTTCAAATCCCAATAAACATATACTGTAACTTACTATACTATACACATCATTTTATTCTATTTTATATCCATAAATAATACTGAAAGTACTTCCACAGGTTGTATTTATAAATAAATAATAAAACAAAAAAAAATATTTTCGGTATTGATCCGTTTCGGACGTAAAACGTTTCGTACAACTAATATAAAATATTTTCAAAACTTTTTACAGTGTATGATCGATAAAACAACAAAATTTTATTCTCATAAAATGGTTTATGATAAACTAATAAAAGCATACCGTATCATTCTAGTAGTATGTTTAATATTTACTAAGTATTAAGGAAATAATATATTAGTAAACAACCAAAATATATGAGTTCCCCTCTCATACTTTACGAAAGGTATATAAATTAGTAATATTTACAATACTATTTCTAAAGTTTACACCTGTCAGCTGCCCTACAATTCTTACAATTACTTAAGTCTCCTTTCATAAGATACCTAAAGTTTGTAGTGTGAATTGAATGTAGGGTTTCTTACTAAAGACATCTAAATTGTGGATTTACATTCCATATTTGCTCTCAGAGAAGTGGTAATCACGGTTGCCAGTTATGGTACTTTAGTACCAATATTGGTACTTTTTTTTTCGTTTGGTACTTATGTTCAAAAAATGGTATATTTTTGACGACCCAACTTTATTGTGGATATTTCCAATTAATTTTTTTTATAAATGCAACATTGCACTATTTTATATTTTGTTCATTTATAACGCTATAAAAAACAGAACGAAAAAACAAAAAGGTCCAAAAAAATTTTGGATCTTTTTTCACAGAAATTGGCACCTTTTTAAACCAATTTTGGTACAGAAAAAAATTTTCAAGTGGCAACCGTGGTGGTAATCATAAAATTGTGGGAGACACGAGTACAATGAGAGAAGTGATTCAATGCGATAATTAATAATTTTCTTATAATGTGACTCACATTATGCGAGTAAACACGAAAGAGATAAATAAAAAATTAATGAATAAGAACAAAAGAACTTTTCTTGCCTCTTATATATTAAATGGGTATTAATCCTGTTAACTTCAACTTTAAACCTTAATTATTAAAATGGGATTATTAACGCTCTTAACTTAATAGGTTGGCTTAACAAAAAGAATTACAGCTCTTTAAGTGCAAGCACATTTTGGTAAAAATATCATAATATTTTGTTATAATAAAATAGTTTATAAGCTTTTATGGTATGTTGTTAAACTTTTTGGCAAAATCTTAGTTAAAATTCTTGGAAATGTTTATGAATATTTAAAAATAAATTTCCCAGAATTCATAATTTTTATAATAAGAATATCTTTATGGATATGCATACTCGTATATATAAACCCATATAACTCTATGCATCTACAAAGATTTATGTATTTACACAGGCCCACCCAGTTTTGTGATAATGAAGCAATCTCTAAGTAAGTATTTTGTATTTATCAATAATTTGGGCCAATTTTAATTTAATACTAAATGAAAAGAATTTTGATATTTGAAGATTTGGAATTGTATAAAATGGTTGGTGATTGTTAGTAACATATTAAAGCTATAGAAGGAGTAAAAGTTAAAGAGCTTTTTTTAAAATGCGTCTTTCGAAATTTTTAACTGTAAGACAATTTTGCATTCATAAGTGATTTAAATAACTAATTAAATTTATAAATTAACAGTTGTTATTTTGTGTGTACTGTGGAGTTAACCGCAAGGTCTTTGCTAATTCTGATTTAATTGAAATATGTAACAAGAATGGAGCGGGAAGTTGGGGGATTGAGAGTGATCCAACTTGTTCTACGTAATTTTGAAGAATGTACTTATTGCAAGTAAAAATAATAATTCAATGTTTTCTTCTAGATATGTATATTGTTATAATATCGGAAATGAATTCAATTTAGTTGTTATGACATGTCGTGGAAATAATTATTTTGATCCACAAAATCGCTTGTGTGTATCAGATAAAAGTGTTTGCAACAACAATAATGTTCAAACTACAATTACAAATCAAGAAACCTCAACCCCAGTTCCAAATAAAAATATTTGTGAAGTTGATGGTTCTCAAACTAATGTGAATGATAACACCTGTAGAACGTAAGTGTAATGAACTAAACTGAATATATATATTAACATATATTATGCATCATATCCATAGTCAAAAGCTTAATAAAAATATTATCTATATACTATACTTTTAGGTATATATATTGTTTTAAAGCCGCAAACGGAGTACTAACCGAAGTATTGCTTTCATGTAACAATGGTTTTTATTTCGATAATTTATCCAGACTTTGTACTTCAAGGAAACCTGAAGAATGTACTGATTCAGTTATTGAAATGAGCACAACACAAGATTTAGAGACAACAACAAATACACCAATACCGATCTCTTGTGCAGAGTTAGGAGTTGGTGCACATGCAAATAAAAATGATTCAACATGCAAGACGTAAGATAATTATCTGCACATATAATTTAAAAATTAAGTATGTAATTTTATATTTTAATTATTTGTAGTTTCTTATACTGTTTCAAGAACCAAAATGTTTGGATGAATATAATTCAAAGCTGCGCCGAAAAGCAATATTTTGATTCTCAGACTCAAACATGTAGTCCACGTAAGCCCAATGGTTGTTTATCTGATGAAAATGGTGTTTCAAACAATGACTATAACAACATTAAAGGATTTCTGGGAGAAGCATTTAATAAATTAAACATTGTTTTTTTCTTAAACCAATCAAACTAATGTTCTAAAAATATATTTTCACTCTATGTTAATATAATCAAATGGTTATAACAATGGTTTTAATAGATGCAGAAATATTAAATAATTCTTTGAATATTAATATGAAAAACCACAATATTTGTAATATTATATGTAAGTTTATTTGTATATCTGAGCCAACATAATAATTATTATACTATATTTCAAAATAAAAAAAAATTGTATATTAAATCCTATTATTTTTTTCCTGTTACATATTTAGCCCCTAAACAAAAAAAATCACATGGGTAGATTTTATATAAATAGATTTTCGAGGAATGAGGTTTTAAATTATTTTTTTCCCAGTTTTTGGAAACTGCTTCACATGTTCCAATTGAAACTAATAATGAGAAGATATTAACTCTGAACATAATACCGACTTAAAGAAGTAATAAACGGTAATCGAAAAAATTATTATATTATATAAATTATATATGTTATATATATTATTACATATCAACTTTTAATTTTATCCATTATATAGTTAAATGAAGTCTTAGGGTGTTTTAATTTACATATAGAAATTATTTCAAAATGCTAAATATTGATATTCTTTTCTTATATAAGAAATGATATTCTTTTCTTATATAGGAAATAATGGTGAATAAATTTTATTATTCTTAAATCATTTATTAAAAAAAAATAAAATGTATAAATAATAACTAGTTGTTACATTAACCATAAGCTCAAACTTAATAGCAAGCACTTTTCAAAATTCATACTTTAATATCAATTTTAGATTACTACTGGCGCTCACTCGAAGGTACTTCACCCGGTTTTTTGAACTGTATTCTAACATTATCTAACTTATCCTACAACTTAATTAGTATCAGCTATGTGATATAAGACTCTACAATACCTTACTTCGATGAGGTACATTGAACTGCATATGGTAGATGAAAGTCAATTGTTCCAACTAAACTCCATGATTTGATAGCAATCCATCATATAACTTATAATCAACATAGTATTTAATATATTAATATAAGAAGTTTAAAATAAATGAAACTTTTGGGTACTATAATCCACGCTATATATATATACATATACATATATATATATGCAGTTATTGATATTAGTTGGAAGAACTATTAGAATAGATAGTAGTACTCATAATATAGATTAGGATGAGTTCTTAATAACAGTTTGTATGGCAACCATATACACATCTATATCGTCTGTAACAGTTAACGAAACTCTAAAAAAGAGGAGAGTTTACATTAAGAAAAAGAATTTTTTCAAAGAAAAACATGTTCCCAATATGCCGTTTATGTGAGCGATATCTACATTTAAACTAATAAGCCCATTTTTATTGACAACTGTGTATAGTGAAATACACATGGAGTGAGATATTCTCTGTAAACATGAAAATGTTGTTATAGTCAAAGGATTAACACGATATATATATATATATTATATGTAGTTTTTGATGAGATCTTTTCAATAGAAAGTCAGTAAGAGAATAGATTTCTATTTTAGTTTCTTGGAAAGGGTTCAGTTATATACATTTTCCGTTAGAAGAAATTGACAGTATTATTAGAAATTTTAATATAGGCTATTAAGTCATTTAAAGGTACTTCATATTTATTATAAACTTTTAACTCCATTTAATTAATTAATCCTTATAGAAATGTTATTTCGTTTTTTTGATTACCAATTTTTCTTTACATTTGTAAATTCTTTATATTTTCAAACTAAATGCTAATTTTTCTATTATAATAATTATTGTTGCATTACAATAATTAGCTATATTATTACAAATTAATATTATTACTAAATATTATATAATATAAATTAATGATTCATATTCTGACCCATATTTGCTTCATTAACTTGGTTTTTACCAAAAGTTTAGGATTGGATTGTAATAAGTTTGGACTATATTGGGAGTTTAAAAATTTTTTCTTATAATAATTTTAATTTATTTGATTTTATCTTGTTTTATTCTATAATATTATCACTTCTACAATGAATATTTAATTTTTCCAGTGAATTGATTTCAGTGCTTATCGTATAGTTATCACTTTGTAATAATAATTTTTTTAATAATATTGCTTTGATTTTAACAAAAAAAAATATAACTATGTTCTCAATAAAAATTGATTTATGTATCCTAAAATATTGAAAATTAGAAAAAAATTGGGCCAATAAGTCATAAAGATATATTTTAAGTATTTTTTACCGAGTTTTGATTATACTTTACCTGTTTTGATAAGAACTTCAGACAATACCACATTTTTGACTATTTAAATTTTTAGTATTTAAAAGCATTTTCTACGCATATGTTTCAAACAAAATCTTTTAAAAAAATGTTGGCACTATTTGTGGTGAATATAGAATATAAAATAATTACAAATGTAAATGTTAATTACATTAACTTAATTATTTTCAGTTCTTAAGTCTCAGCATTTTAATTGGTGCGCAAAATAAATGTGACATCTGCCAAACGGTCAACTTCGTCGCTTGTCACAGTGAAACTGTATTTTCATTGTGTATCAACGGTGTTGCCACTTATGACTACAATGAATGTCCTGCAGATAATGTTTGTACAGATGGGCCATATATTTGCTATCCGAAACAACGTGGATATCAAACAAGCTGCCCCCGAACAGATGTTATTGCTGATAAACCTGATGATAAGTGTGCAGTTTGCGATTCGCCCGGACAAGTATATGCATGCCTTAATAGAAATACTATTGCTTTCTGTTTCGGAAGCGATGTTGCTTATTATGAATCAATTGCCAAATGTCCACATGGGACAGTATGCGATTTAAATGGTATAAACGATTTTTGTAGTGAGGACACTGCAGTTTTGGTAGTATAGAAATATTTTTTATTAAAGTATTATGTCATATAGTTGATTTTTCTGACTATAGCCTAGTTGTAGCCGTCCACCAAGTGAAGACGACGACACTACTACAACAACCGAAACGACTTTAGCGACAACAGGAATTGTTTCAACGATTTCAACCGAAACAACTAATATGTTGACAACTGAAACTGTTTCAACCGATGTCACCACCACACAAGCACCTTTATCAACATATTCTTCAACGATTTCGACCGAAACAACTAATATTGTAACAACTGAAACTATTCCAACCGATATTACTTCAACGCTATTACCAACAACTACTACTACAACAATACAATCAACTACAACAATTCAGTCTACAACAACTCCAACTGAGACACCCACCACAGTTACCACTGAAGTTGATACTACTGAAACAACTCCATCTGTTGAGACAACTACACCATTTGATCCAACAGCTTTATGTAATCTTAATAATGGTGGAGAAGTGGAGAATAAGAATGATCCAACGTGTAAATCGTGAGTTACTAATCTAATGAGTTAATGAATCAACAATATTTTTTTTATTTAGATATTATCATTGTTACAAACTTTCCACTGATTGGGAGGCAGCACTCCAAAATTGCCATGGAGATCTATACTTTAATAAAGAAAGTGGATTTTGTGAAGCCGATAAACCAGAAAACTGTGTACCTCTAACTACAGATTCGTCAACGATTTCGACCGAAACAACTAATATTGTGACAACTGAAACTGTTTCAACCGATGTCACCACCACACAAGCACCTCTATCAACAGATTCTTCAACGTTTTCGACCGAAACAACTAATATTATAACTACTGAAACTGTTTCAACCGATGTCACCACCACACAAGCACCTCTATCAACAGATTCTTCAACAATTTCGACCGAAACAACTAATATTATAACTACTGAAACTGTTTCAACCGATATTACTTCAACGCCATTACCAACAACTACTACTACAACAATACAATCAACTACAACAATTCAGTCTACAACAATTCCAACTGAGACACCCACCACAGTTACCACTGAAGTTGATACTACTGAAACAACTCCATATGTTGAAACAACTACACCATTTGATCCAACAGCTTTATGTGATCTTAATAATGGTGGGGAAGTGGAGAATAAGAATGATCCAACGTGTAAATCGTGAGTTACTAATCTAATGAGTTAATGGATCAACAATATTTTTTTTATTTAGATATTATCATTGTTACAAATTTTCCACCGATTGGGAGGCAGCACTCCAAAATTGCCATGGAGATCTATACTTTAATAAAGAAAGTGGATTTTGTGAAGCCGATAAACCAGAAAACTGTGTACTTCTAACTACAGATTCGTCAACGATTTCGACCGAAACAACTAATATGTTGACAACTGAAACTGTTTCAACCGATGTCACCACCACACAACCACCTCTATCAACAGATTCTTCAACGTTTTCGACCGAAACAACTAATATTATAACTACTGAAACTGTTTCAACCGATGTCACCACCACACAAGCACCTCTATCAACAGATTCTTCAACAATTTCGACCGAAACAACTAATATTATAACTACTGAAACTGTTTCAACCGATATTACTTCAACGCCATTACCAACAACTACTACTACAACAATACAATCAACTACAACAATTCAGTCTACAACAATTCCAACTGAGACACCCACCACAGTTACCACTGAAGTTGATACTACTGAAACAACTCCATATGTTGAAACAACTACACCATTTGATCCAACAGCTTTATGTGATCTTAATAATGGTGGGGAAGTGGAGAATAAGAATGATCCAACGTGTAAATCGTGAGTTACTAATCTAATGAGTTAATGGATCAACAATATTTTTTTTATTTAGATATTATCATTGTTACAAATTTTCCACCGATTGGGAGGCAGCACTCCAAAATTGCCATGGAGATCTATACTTTAATAAAGAAAGTGGATTTTGTGAAGCCGATAAACCAGAAAACTGTGTACTTCTAACTACAGATTCGTCAACTATTGCAACCGATATTACTTCAACGCCATTACCAACAACTAGTGTTACAACAATACAGTCAACTACAACCACTGAAATTGATACTATTGAAACAACTCCATCTGTTGAGACAACTACACCATTTGATCCAATAGCTTTATGTGATCTTTATGGTACTGGATCAGTGGAGAATAAAAATGATCCAACATGTAAATCGTGAGTTAGTAAACTAATTAATTGATAAATTATTAATTAATGATTTTTTTTTAATTTAGATATTATTATTGTTACATAATGTACGGCAATAATTGGTCGATACTTTTCAAACCTTGCCCTGCAGATAAATATTTTAATAAAGAAAGTGGAATTTGTGAACTCGATAAACCAGAATATTGTGTGTAATATACAAATATTTTATCTGCGCACAATGATGGCAGTCATTATCCTTGTGAAAAATTCATTATTACAAATACATAAAATTTAATGTTTCTTAAATGATCAAATAAAATCATTTGATTAAAAACGTAAATTTAAATTAATCAAGCTTTTCCTTTGAAGTTTCCAATGTTCGTATTGAGCACTCTTTGGTGTATTCAGGAATAAAAAAATAATTCTGATTTTGGATATTCTGGTGATTACGTAAATTATTAATAAATAATGACTAAAATTGTAGTGATACATTTTAATGGAATAAAATTATAAATAATATACTTTTATGTACAAAATATTTTTATATAAATTGCTTATGCTTCATGCACATAGAAATAATTATTCTTATTATCGGATGCCATAGGAGATTATAGACTATATTTGGATTAATTCGGTAGGTTCGGAGTAGCAAGAATACATATTTACGTTCTGTAAGAAAAATATTTTAGTAAGAATCTTTTTGAAATGAATTTTATGAACTCAAAGAACTTGCAAAAAAAAAGATTAAATTATATAGGTATAATTGTTCTGGAATAATATTCATTTTATAATGAACATATTACCAACAATATTTGGTTATTTTTTTTATAACATCAATAAGTCATTTACAATATTTTTAGATAGTTTTAATATCAAAGGCATATAAACTATAGGTATATATATATAGCTATAGGTATAACATCACTTATAGATAAACAAGCCGACCAAATTTAATTGATTCATTTTGTGAAAAAAATAAAAATTAGTATAATCATCAACGTCTTCTTATTTCCATCATTGTCTCACATTATTCTTCAATAGTACTAGGAATTACGAAATAAAACACATAGTTGCTTAGTTCTGAATGTTTAATTTGATTTACCTTTAATTAGTTTTTGCACTTTGATTTATACATATACCAGATGCTATTCCATTTTTTAAAACGTTTTCATAAGCCCTTGTAAAAGTTGTACATATGTTCACAAGTGAATTCTTCTTCACTGCTAATAGCAAAGGCAGGGTCAATTTCTTCAAAAAAACAGAAAATCCTTTTATTTTTTATACGAATCTTGACTTCTATTAGAGAATGTCTTCATCTATCTATAACTTTTTAAAGTTGCTTTCAGTTTGTTAAAGCTAGTTGGGTTACAGTACTTACATACAATATATTTCAAGTCTGGGCTTGTCTTTACACGTGGACAACCCCATTAAAGTTTTTATATATAATCGCTTTATTCTCTTTTATAATATAAATTTTGTAGTTCCATTGATATATTGTACATATAAAGAAAGATTCATAAGGTGCCAATCAGTTTTATATAAAAATGTTTAAATTTTTTTTGTCAATGCACGATTATTTGAACCTAGTTTACCTATACTGCTTTGTGTTATCTTTCAAAAGATTTCCTATATTATTTTAATTCTTTTATCGATGTTTGAAGCTCACAACTATGTAATTGATATTTTATAAGATCTATTCAGTAATAGATCTGATTCAATAATCAAAATATATAAAAGATGTAACTTATTCGAATCTGAAGTCATAGACTACAATTGATCAATTCAAAGATTTGCCTCTATTTGCCGTTACTTTAAATTTTGTTATGGTTTAATTATATTTTGAAACATCTATATAGCTTAATTAACCACACAAACTGACAAAGAAGAAAACTTTGGGTAAAGTTCTAACGCTTCCTTAAGATCTTAGTCTAAAAAAACTTTCAGAAAAGTCGTATCACTTCCTTAAGATCTTGGTCATTAAAGATAATTATTCCAAAAAATATTATCGAAAGAAACTCTGAGAAAAGTCGTATCATTCCCTTAAGATCTTACCCATTAAAGATTATTACTCCAAAAAATAGTGTTGATTATAATTATTAGTGATTTTTCATAATCATTTTCTTCAACGCGCATTATTCATGATTATTTATGATTATATCATAATTTCTACTCCCACTAAGTTAAGCAATTAGTTATTAATATGCAATTACCTAGTCACGTTTATCGATTTGATAAGTTTTTGATAAAAATTTTAACTTTGAATTGATTATTATCTACATTCTTAAATGAATGCAATAAACACTTAAAAATAAATGCTCAGCTAATAACAAATCGATTGAAGTCATTATTATTTTATAGCCTACTTAATACACTCTCCAATGTACAACAAATATGTTCCAAATCGAGATTATGAGAGTATTAATCATACTGCACACTCGTTAGGAAGAGTCCAATTACAAAAGTGATATGTCGTCCATTAAAATGCAAGCGTATACAATACATATTAACGTCACAGAAAACAAAAACAAAAAAAATGTCATAAAAAATTTAATTGATCACTTTTAAATCCTTTGTATTATATTTTAAAGATAATTTTTTGATTATTTCGATATATTCCCAAGGCAAATCTTTATATAAATTCAGTAGTTGTACTACTTGCAGAGTCGTATGTCTTTGCCAGCGAAAATGTTTTGTTATTCACATTTGTTATGTTTTCTGGTAAAAGTATAAAACGTCCGACATCGGAAAAGTTCTTAAATTTTGTATTTTTCAGGCTATTTCTTCATTAATAAGCCTGTCCTCCGCCGCATGTAATCAATGCCAAAGCAGCAATTCGGTCGCTTGTCTAAGTTTTCAGGCTTATGCCAATTGTATCAATGGTAAGAAACTGTTTTGAATAAATTGTATTTATTTCAAATTATCTTTATATATGTACAGGAGAACCAAGTAATGATGTGTTATTTTGCCCGATTGGTACTATTTGCACTAACAATGAATTTATATGTCAACCGATATTAACTAATGTGGAAGCAAGTTGTCAGAGTTCACAAATTGTGACAATTAGTCGGAAAAATCAATGCGATGTATGTAGTTCTGCATATAAAACATTTGCTTGCATAAATGAAAATACTGTAGCTTTTTGTTTTGGAAATAATATACCTAACTATGAATCAACCTTAATATGCCCACCAGGCACTGTATGTGATCTAGAGAATTATGCCTTCTGTTCATTGTCTGCAATTGTAAAGGTAATCCAAAATTCCTAGATTCAAATAACAATTAGAAACAATTTTATTGTCTTTTAGCCGAGCTGTCAATCTTTTAGTACTACTACCACTGAAATATTTCACAACAGCACAACAACTTTGAGTTCTGTACATACTGATTCTACAACATCTATTACAGCTTCAACTACACCTAAAATGACAACTACAACAATGAAAACAAAACCAATAACACTTTCAACTACTTCTACTACAAGCACACCAACAATTACAACATCAACAGAGCGGACCACAATTTCTACCACAGCTATGAACACAACACCGAAAATACTTTCAACTACTCGTTTTTCAAATGCGCCAACGACAATAACAACAACAGAGAGAACAACTATCCCCTATACAACCAAGAAGACAATTCTAACAACACTTTCAACTACTTCTACTACAAATACTCCAACAATTACAACAACAAGGGAGAGCACCATAATTCCAACAACTCTAAAAACAACCCCGACAACTACTTCTACCACAAATACTCCAATAGTTACTTCTACTTCTACCACAAATACTCCAATAGTTACAACAACAACAGAGAGTACCACTATTCCAACGACAACTATGAAAACAATACCGACAACAGTTTCAACTACTTCAACCACAAATACTCCAATAGTTACGACAACAACGAAGAGAGCAACTATTCCAACTACAACTATAAAGACAACTCCGACCACACTTTCAACTACTTCTACCACAAATACTCCAATAGCTACAACAACAACGGAGAGAACCACTATTCCAACGACAACTATAAAGACAACACAGACAGCTGTTTCTACTACAAATACTCCAATAGTTACAACAAAAACAGAAAGAACCACTGTTCCAACTACAACTATAAAGACAACTCCGACCACATTTTCAACGGCTTCTACCACAAATACTCCAATAGTTACAACAACAACGGAGAGTACCACTACTCCAACGACCACTATTAAGACAACACCGACAACAATTTCAACTACTTCTACCACAAATACTCCAATAGTTACAACAACAACGGAAAGAACCACTATTCCAACTACAACTATAGAGACAACTTCGACCATACTTTCAACTACTTCTACTACAAATACTCCAATAGCTACAACAACAACGGAGAGAACCACTATTCCAACGACAACTATAAAGACAACACAGACAGCTGTTTCTACTACAAATACTCCAATAGTTACAACAACAACAGAAAGAACCACTATTCCAACTACAACTATAAAGACAACTCCGACTACATTTTCAACGACTTCTACCACAAATACTCCAATAGTTACAACAACAACGGAGAGTACCACTACTCCAACGACCACTATTAAGACAACACCGACAACAATTTCAACTACTTCTACCACAAATACTCCAATAGTTACAACAACAACGGAAAGAACCACTATTCCAACTACAACTATAGAGACAACTTCGACCACACTTTCAACTACTTCTACTACAAACACTCCAATAGCTACAACAACAACGGAGAGAACCGCTATTCCAACGACAACTATAAAGACAACACCGACAGCTATTTCTACTACAAATACTCCAATAGTTACAACAACAACGGAGAGATCTACTATTCCAACGACAACTACGAAATCAACAACAACAACAACTACTTCCAGTACTAACACTCAAATAACTACAATAACAACGGAGAGAACCACTATTCCAACGACAACTATAGAGACAACACCGACTACTACAAACACTCCAATAGTTATAACAACAACCACTATTCCAACGACAACTATAGAGACAACACCGACAACTACTTCCACTACAAACACTCCAATAGTTACAACAACAACGGAGAGTACCAGTATTCCAACGACAACTATAAAAACAACACCAACAACTACTCCCACTACAAACACTCCAATAGTTACAAGAACAACGCAAAGGACCTCTATTCCCACTACAACTATGAAGGCAACCCCGACAACACACTCAACTACTCCTACAACAAATACACCAACGGTAACAACAACACCCACTTCTACTTCGAAGACGACTAAAACTAACCCAGCAAATCCTAGCACTACACAACCCACTACTCTAGCAACCACAACACAAAGAGAAACAACAGTCCCTACAACATCAACTATGTATATCAGCACTACAACGACTATTAGTCCATGTACAGCTCAGACAGCTGCACAATTTTGTGAAATGCTTAATGAGAGTGGATCATATCCTGATTTAACTGATACCACATGCACACAGTAAGTAGAATCGTAAAAAATTATACATCAATACAAGTATATATAAGTATACGAGTACAAGTATAAATATAAACAAGTATATAATAGATACAAATAATTAATTTCTATTATCGAAAAATGTTGGATTCTAGAAGTAATATTAATATCTACTTTTAGGTTCTATTATTGCTATACGGATAATGGAACTGAATATGAAGGTTTCACATACAGTTGCTCTGAAGGATTATATTTTGACCCAACACTTAGAAGTTGTACTGGAACAAAGCCAACCAATTGTGGTCAATGTGATGTTTAAAAAAAATTTCTTTTTCCTTTTTATTATAAAACATTTAAGTTTCTATATAACCTATTCCAATTAATAAATTTCACAAAGCATAATTAAATAATGGTTTTAATATTAATATGTTATTGTTATTTTCTCAATTACTATTTTGCGTAATAGTAATATTTAATTATAGACTTCTCAAGTAATATATTTTGTGTTAAGTACCAGACTATTATTGGGAACCCCAATATAATCAATTTCGTTTTTGACAAAGAGAGCTGCAGAAAAATACTTTTTTGCTTAAAATAATTAGGCTAATGTGAGATTGCTAACTTCAAATCTGAAATCCGTGAAACTTGTAGATATTAAAGTTTCTGGCAATAATGGGTTAAAACTTTAAAATGAAGGTTTTAAAGAAGTAACTTCCTAATTAAAGAAGTATGAATTTTATATATCTAACAAATACCATATTAAATGAATGGATAAACATTTGTAATTTTAACGTCATTTCTCAAATTCCCCTCTTTCCCTCTCCAAATTTTTTTCTTATTTGTTAAACTAAACGTGTAGAAAAAAAGTTTTTCTTGTCTTGAGAAAATAGAGGAAGGGGAAATAAGTTAGATTATCAACGCGTAAAAATTTTAATTAACGCTTTAAAATCTTGTGAATTGGAACCCATTATTTCCAGAGACCTAAATATTTAGAAGAAAAAAGGTTGATGATTTGAAAAATGAAAAAATAAATTTGATATCAAGACTCATTATTTATACTTTCTCATTATTAAATACAAATAACTATCTGATTTAGAATGAGATATTATCTTCACATTCTAAGCTGCAATTAACTAAATATAAAATAAAAATAAGAATTGAAAATTTATTGATAAAATTATTTATTTTAAAATATGTGTCTTTAAATAAGTAAATTTTAAAATATTTAGGAATTTTTATTCCTTTTTAAACTTTTCAAAGAAATCCGCAAATTTAGCAGTTCGTCGGTTTTTCGTCTTGACATTTCTGTGTGACTGAATTAAAGTATCCAGCACAAATGTACTTTGTGCCAATATAATCTCCCGACAAATTGTAGCAATGAATATACCTTATATTAACAAATAAGTTAGATATTTGTTAATCTATAAAAATAGACGTAACTTACGTTTTACAGGTCGTATCGCCTTCCAGCGAAAAATATCCTTCAGCTTGTATATAATTACAGAAATCGTCTGGATTTGTAATAGGTGCTCTTGTTGTAGTAGTAGATGGGGTACTATATATTTCTGTCGTCATTTGCGTAGTAGTAATTTGTGAAACCATAGATGTAAGCGTACTCAGCAGAGTTCCTGTGCTACCTGTAGTAGAAATATAAGATGTATTAGATGTAGATTGTAAAGTAGTTATTGTAGTATCTACATTATCCACAGTTATTGTAGATACTACATTATATTGTAGTATCAATATTGGTGTAGTATCTACATACATCACCAATATTTTTCGTACTTGCTATTGTTGTTATGATAGAAGTTGTACTATCTGCATCTGTGGTGAGCGTACTTATGTCTGAAACTGTAGTGCTGGAACTATCAGCAGTTACGCTACTTGTAACTGTTGAACTTTCATCGGTTGATTGTCCATTGCCTGTAGTGACGGTAAATACAGTTGTCGAATCTGTTGTTGCAGTTGTTGTGGGATCGGTTGTTACAGTTGTTGTGGAATCTGTTGTTACAGTTGTTGTGGAATCTGTTGTTACAGTTGTTGTGGGATCGGTTGTTACAGTTGTTGTGGAATCTGTTGTTACAGTTGTTGTGGGATCTGTTGTTACAGTTGTTGTGGAATCTGTTGTTACAGTTGTTGTGGGATCTGTTGTTACAGTTATTGTCGCTGTTGAAGTATCTGTATCTATTGTTGTGGGTACAGAATTGGTTGTTACTGTGGGCACTACTGTACTTAAAGTTATTGTAGTTAGTGGTGTTGATGGAGTAACGCCTGTTACTGTGCTTGTCATGCTAGTTGTGCTTTCAGTACCTTCACTAGATTTATAGCAAGAAGGCTTTGGTAATGTAATTTAAAATTGAAAAAAAAATAAATTAAATAAATCGATATCAATTATTTATTGACAATGCCACTATTTACCGTATAAGTTTCTTTCGGCATGCAGTTTCCCATTTCAATATTACAAACATAACCATTGGGGCACTTAGTAAAAGTCTCCAATTTCGGTGTAAGATCACCAAAACAAAAACCATATGTTGTTTCATCTATGCAAGCAAATCGACCATCTGTTAGTATACAAGTTCCACAATAATTTTCATAGCAGGCTGGTGTATCTTCTGTTGGACTTCGACAAATAGTTTGATGACTTGTGCATATCTTATCGCCGGGACATGGCACTTCAATATTAGTTGGAGCTCCGTTATTGCAAAGCACAAAGCTTTGCTGACTAATGCATGCTACATTGTTAGCAAAACATAAATCACATTCCCCAACCAATGCTCCCGATAATGTATTCAAGACAACTAGTAAAGTCTTTCGTATTCAAATTTAATAAATTTTATTTAATATATATCTTATCTAGAATTATACTTAACTTACAGTAATCCATAATGAAAGTTGTAGTATTCGTTTCATTGCAAAACTCGATTTTTTTTACCTCAAGAATGATCGTGCGTTAGTGTGATTTACCTGCAAATATCGCTGTTCCTTTTTGTAGTTCTCATGATTTGGTTTTTCATTAAATACTCATATTGACAAACTAAAAATTTCTTATCTTTGCATACCAATATTTGTCTAGATCTTTATATCGATAGATACATATACTTAGGCTTTATTATCCAAAACATAATTTATTTAAAAAAGATAATTGTTTATTTATCATTTATACTAATATCATAAAGATAAATATTAGGGTATGACTTTATTATATTAATAGGTAAGGTAATAGGTGATTCTTATCTGATTTAAAAATAATAATTATAATTTAATGTGAATTCTGACCTACAATCAAGTGACTAATTTTTGTTTATAACAATTTGAATTATATCACACGACCTCATTATATAATTTTAGTCATTTATACTGTTTTTGTTCTAAATAAACATGAATAGATTACTTGTATTCATTTCATATTGATATGTATATACCAAAATATAATTACATATATACATATGTATATAATATGTAGACTTTTAAATAATTTATTGAATGAAAAAATAAAAAAAAAACACCATCAAAATTTTTAATACTTCAATGTGTACAATTTAGTGACCCTATATATAAATTAAGTATGATATAGCGAATATAATATATTCAATATATCAAAATGCGACTAGCAACCGAATAATCAAAAGGAAGAGAGCAAGGAAGAACAAGCAATACTACTATTTCATCTTTTTAAATACCTCCCTTACTGTCAAGATATAGAAGCTTTAAACGAAAATAAACATTTATGAATTTGTTAATCATCAACAGGTCCATAACCAGAAATTTACTAGGGATAGTTTTAGTTATACATATGATAAAAAAAATCCTGTTGAACACTCATGCTGTGTTAATAATGAATACACTTTAGGTTGAGTCGATTTTCTTCTTTAGAATGGATAGCAAAACATTGTTCTATAAATTATTATAAGTAAAGGTCACAAGAATCTATATTTCTAGGGATATATTTAAGTTTATAGACTTGTCCACTTGGTTTCCTTGAATTTAAAGAGACGCTGTTGATAAACTAAATGTTTCGGACTGTTACCTTTAAGATGGTTCTTCAAGTCTGTCCTACGGTTAGTGTCTCATCTTTGGTATCACAACAGACCATTATTTGTCTTCAAATGAGATATGGTGTAGAAGGAAGGCTTTTAAAACTTTAGCATTTTCTAACATAATAATAAATATTAGACTATACTAATTTTTTATTAAACTTGTAGCATAAAAATCGATGACCAAATACCGTTCCCTATTTCAAATGCAGCTGTACCGTCACAATTTCATCAGCCTAATAATATATGCTTTCTAATGATGTTTCGATCTGAATTATTTTGGTTCTATTGTCTATAGTTATATTGTTACCTATCGTTCCAATGTAGAATGTTAATATGCCAAATATTCAAATAATATGTAATTTCTTATTTATTATTGCTGTTATTCGAGTAAGAAGGATGAAATGTGTGAGTATTATAAATATATTCACTGTTAAGCACTTCAATATTTAGGAGTTCCATTGCAAATTCATTGCTTGTTAATTACAAAATAGTATTTAGATCGGTATTCGCAACTGGCGACAAATACCATCCTCATCCAATGAAAACTATTTTGTTCCAATTATTAATGTTGCTCATCTATACTCATCCATTTAGCTATATATTTTGTATAACCAAATTACTAAAATGGTTTTATCAAAAACGTATAAAAACTTTTCCAAGCATTGGTTGACTCAATGCTGTCTTCTTTCCTTTAACCCATATTAGAGCATAAGGCCTCGACGTAAACTTATCCGAAATTTCACAAAAAAAAGTTAATGTCATTATAAAATTCCTTATAAATGGCTGTTTATAAAATTTCACTTTCAATTATATATTTTTATATAAGCTGAAAAAATAATATATCTATTAGTCTTGAAATTTTGCTTATATAAAAAAACAAAAAGTGCAAGTTAGCTACTTAAGAATAAACTATTTTCTTGTAACTTATGAAATTAGCAGGAACAGAGTAGTTTCTTTTATAAAGAAATAAGCTAAATTATGTATGTATGTAGATCAAACCTATTCTCTATATTTAAATAAAATTATAACACCACGTTTTGATCACATATAATAAGTTTCGTACTTTATTTTTCACAAGTGTTTTTTAAATGATTTAATAAATAACAAAATACATTAAAATTTATATTCATGATTTTAATTAAAAGTACAAACTAAAACATATTAAATACTAAAGGATATAACCGATATATATATATTATATATATTACTTAAATTATAGCAAATTTAATACATAATTTAATTTAATGTGTTTAGATTTATATGAATATGAATTTATGAAGACAGCAATGAACATTATAAGAAATTTTATTTCTATTTAAGAAAACAGAATAATGATATATAACGTTTTTAAATATTTTATTCTTGTTTTATTAAAAGTGAATTTTAAAAATTAAATCGTTTAAAAAATAAATAAACTATTATTGATTGATAATTAATACCAAAATATCGGACACAAGCAACAATCTTACTTTTCGTGGCATATTTACGAACAAAGAAATTTTTTTTTTAAATTTATTTTGTTTATTGATATAAGCTATTGTATCCGACAACATTATTTAATTAAGATATTGCCTCAAATGTATTGAAATGCAAAAAAAGTCAAGTCTATAATAGACCTTACAACTTGCAGATAAGTATGATACTGCGTGCGGTGGCAGAAATTAGAATAAATATTTTCCTCATATTAAACACTGTTTAAAATTCTAGTTTAAAAAATATATATAAAAATCGAGCAAAGAAATGCATTAATCATATATTAAAAATATATAATTTTTATTAAAATGACTTTAAAAAAAAATAAATCCGGATGTCTTTAGGGATATTATTTATATAATTATTCATTTATGCCATGTGAAACGATAGAATTTTACCAACCGCAATTTAAAATTTTACTGCAGATCAGGATATAGTAGAATGTTCTGATTTTTAAATAAATTTGCATATATAAAAAAATAAACAGATCAATAATTATTTTAGTTTTAGAATTAAAAATTTCAATTTAATTTTATTCAAGCAAATAAATTTAGGATTTATTTGCAATTTGATATTTAATTTAATTTAAAAAAATGCTAACAAATTTTGAAATCTAAAATAATAAACTTTACAAAAAGTAATTACATAATTATAATCAGTATTATATATTAATTTAATTTATTATTATCAAATATTCAAATTATTAATATTTTCTCAACAATTTTTGTCGTAATTTATTAAAAAATTTAATTTTTTCTCTAATAAAATTTACAGAAATAACATTTTTTTTTGTTAACAATTTCTAAATAAATAATTAACTTTAATATTTTGATAATGTTTTTTTTGTTTAATAATAGCATATTATAAAAAATAATTGTACGAATTTTATTATTTATATATACTAAAAATAATATAAATAATTTATAAATAATTATTCTAAATACATATATATATAAAAATTTAAACGCACAAATTTCTCAAAATAAACTTCTTTAATTTTATTTCTAATCCGTTTTGTTATTAGTATTTGAATAGAATTCAATTTAATTTGTTGAAAATTTAGTTTAACTACACTTAATATTGTTAAATCTATAATATTTTTATATAGCAGAAAAACTATAGCTAATAGCAAACAAGTAGCATTAAATATGTATGCAAATGGATATTTTTATATACTTATTTGTATTTATATGTTTATATGCATGTGGGTCGTTTTTAATTTGTAAAATATTTCATTTCAAATTTGATATATTATATATATATATATATAAACTACATTTTAAATAACTAACTTTAACGCAAGAACTTATACAATATTTCTGAATTTTGTTCTTAATAAAAATTACTTAAATATATGAAAATATATATAAATATGTATGAGTTGTAAATATATTTAAGCATATTTTTATAAAAATGTTATTAGTTTTTTTTCTTCGTTACTTTGCATGTATATGTAAATATTTTATGCTTAAAGTTAGTGAATATGTATCAATCAATTTATTAAAATATATTAAAATCTGAGTGACGATGCATATGTATGTATGTATGTTGATTTGTGTTTAATTGTTAAATATATATATATTATAAAAACAAATAAATTAAAATTTTAAGATACTTATTCAAAAAAAAAAAATTTAAGATTTTTTTAATTTAAAACAAAACATCAAACAAAATTAAAATTGTTTTAATATAAAAACAATATAAGTATATTTATTTTAATTATAAAATGGTTTAGTGTTTAAAAATGATTTCTTTTTTACACAAAATGGATTTCAAATTAAAACTTCAAATTTCAACATATTAAAATATATAAAAAATTATTTTCATTTGCTTAATTTACTTATAACTCTAATTAACGCGCCATTTTCTTCCTTAAGACGTTGATTCTCCGTTTTGTATACTTCCAATTGCTGTGAATAAATAGAAAGAAATAAAATAATTATTATTTTGTATATATTTATTATAGGTTTTATTATTTGATTCAACATAAATATTTATATTTTGAATTGGAAAAATAAATTCAATTGAAACATTTCATTAACAAGTTTAATTAACAACAACAACAATTTTAAAAAAATTGAAAAGGTGTTAAAAAGCGTTTTTTGCAGTTTATTTACATTATTTAAATAAAAACATATATTAAGTATGGTCAGAAAAGTAAATTTCTTTAGGTGATTGACAGATAAAAAATAGATTTAATTGCATAAAAAATTTTTGAAAGCTTTAATTATGTGGAAGTAAATATATGTGCATTTAAATGCCTAATGGATTAAAATTAAAAACCTATTATTGTGGCCTTTGTGTAGAAGTTGGTCAGTACATGTACTTCTAACTCTAGTAATTATATGAGAAGAACAACCACCCACAACTAATATAACCAAATTTACTTAATTATATCATATACCTTTTAAAAAAAAATATTGTAAGTCAATTTTATAATTCAGAATTTAAAAATT